GTGGACAGTTCAAGTTTGCCCTTTTAATGCAAGGCATAGCAATCTGCCAGGGTAGGCAAAGGACACTGGTGAGGTGGTCTGTGTAACTGAAGCAAATGTGAGGGACAAGGTATCAAATATGGAATGTTCTTTTACAGATGTTACCATGCACCATGAGGACTAACAAGCATTCTACCATGACATCAACAACCAACTAGAAAACCGTTTTAACAGGACTTTATTACCACACAGTGAAGGTGATATTCAGGATGTGTGTTTGCATTCTAAGTGTTAGGGGCAGACCCACTCCTGTGCCAGTCTCTAGAGCAGTGGTTCTTAACCTTCCTAATGCTGTGACCCTTTAATACAGTTCCTCATGTAGATGTATATAATACGTCTTTTTCCTATATTATATTTCTAAACAAAGATGTTATCTTACTATAGAAGAAAATGATGGTTTCTGTGCAGTTCTAAAAGTTAATCAGGATTAAATCTAACAGCAGCCCGTCTTTTTGCATAGTTGTACATCTACTGTCTCAGGAAATTTTCAAATCATTTGTTTAAAAGCAATACTGTACTGGAGAGATGGCTCTGTGGTAAAGAGCACATCACCAGCAGGCTTACAAATGCCTGCAACTCTAGCTCCAGAGGATCTGACTTCTCTGTTATCCTTGAGCACATACACATACCCACATCCAGACACGCATACCTACACATAATTAAAAAGAACAGAAATGGATCTTTACAAAAACAAACACTGAAGAGCCATTTCTTCAATGTTATGTACTACCAATATGCTTTAAATGTTCAACCTCGAAATGTAAGTAAAAACCCATTTATAAGCTGGGCATAGTGGTACATGGTTATAATCTCAACATTTGAGAGGCAGAGGCAAGAGGATTGACAGAAGTTCAAAGTCAATATTGCCTACATAGAGAATTTCAAGTTCACATGGGGCAGGAGTAAGACGGTATCTCAAAATAAACTAACAAACTAATAGTAAAACCGAAATCAAACAACAAAATACTTGATGCATGATATAATCCTGGCAAATGGAGAGATGGTGCAATGGTTAAGAGTACTAGCTACCTTTTCAGGGGACCCAAATTTGGTTCTCAGCAACCAAGTCAGGTGGTTCACAACTACATCTAACTCCAGCTCTAGAAGATCTGATGCCTCTGACTTCTGAAGGCACCTGCACTCATGTATGACAGTGAATATGCACATACACAACCCACACATAACTTAAAAATAAAAATAAATTTTAAAAAGATTTAAAAACCTGAACTGATTTAGAATAACCAAACATACATAACTTAATTTCTAAACATTAAAAATTCTACTTAAAAGGAACATGTATAGTAACCAGATACATGGTATATAAGTAACTAAAATTTTTTAAAAAGGATGATTCCATTTCCTTTAAAGAGTATGCACACAAATACTATTTGAGGAAAGATCCGAGCATCCTTTCCCTGAGACAAAACCCCCAAAAGACCAAAGAGAAAAGTCACAAGAGAGAGAACTGCCTGATTGTAACTCTAATTTGAGATTCTCAAAAAATTGATACATAAAATTTATGATTATTGAGATGATTTTATCAACTGCTTTCCTCCATTTTCTTAGGTGCTATAGAACAATCAATATATGAAGACCTATAGAAAGCTTTAGAACTGCCTCAGAAACGAGCCAATTAAAAGTAATTCAAGTATGGAAAAATACCATCCTCACTGCTTACTAATCCCCAGATGCCAGCTCTAAACACAAAAAGATTTAAAATTACAATATATTCTTGTTTCAAATTTTGTTAACATTTATTAATGTTATGTGTGTTTGTTTGCCTTGCCTGAGAGAGAGAGAGAGAGAGAGAGAGAGAGAGAGAGAGAGAGAGAGAGAGAGAGAGAGAGAGAGAGAGAGAGAGAGAGAGAGAGCGCTGCATTCAGGAGTCTGCAGAGGACAGACTCCCTGGAATTGCAGTTGCAGTTGGTTGGAAGCCACCATGTGGGTATGAGTAAACAAAGTAGATTTGTTACAACAGGAGCAAGTATAAACTGCTGAGCTACATTTCTTGTCTGTTTGGTTTTTAAGACAGGATCTCACTATGTAGGCCTGGTTATCCTGGAACTTATTATGTAGACCAGTCTCGCCTCAAATTCATGAATGTCTACCTCCCAGTGTCTCTGAATGCTAGGATTAAATTCAGGTACCACCACGCCCAAAGATTTATGAGAGTCTTAAGTAATGGTGGCACTACCTACTTGCCATATACTGAGCATTCTAATAGAGTCCCTAGAAATCTTGCAATTAATACAATAAACCTGTAAATTTTGTATAGATCTATAATTCTGATTTGAAATCCTTGGAGCAAGATGCATTCGTGAATTCTTAACAGTTCAGACTTTAGAGGATATAAGTACATAATCTGTAGAAGCAATAACTCTAGTAGGTAAAAAATTAGGATCCAAGAGACTCCATAAAAAGGATAAGGCAGGACTTAAGACAAAAGGTTCAGAAACATCAGTTGAAGTAGAGCAGTTACCAGAAAGGAGATATAGAGAGAGGATTGCCCAACAAAACCATCATCTCATGGAGGGATGTAGCCAGACCCCAGTACAAGAGAGTACATTCCTCATCTACCCTTTATTTCTTCAGTCTCTTTGTATTCCCTATTGGTCAACTGGAAATCAGAGATGAGAAAAGTCCAATAAAATTCTCTACACATATTAGCCTTTTAGGCAGAAAGCAGGATGAAAAGTAGAATAACACAGTATCTAGCACATAGTTATCATAGATGGGTTTCTATTATAAATAGCCCCCAAATATCACCAGCCATGACAACAAAAGTTTATTTACCACCTTTCTAATGTCATAGAGATCTACTACTGTCTTCTGGGGTTGTGGAGATGCCCTCCACTGAACCTTTGGAGAAGTGTGGCAAAGTCAAACCGTAGGCCTGAAAGCTTCCTCTAGGCTGGATGTGATTATTGACAACTTGAATCAGCCCAATGGTGATGACCCTCATGCAAATGGACCTATTAACATTCTCATGGGAAGAAAAGGAAAGCTCAGGAGCCCCACTCCTGTTCTTCAATAGTATACAAGGAAGAAGTAGTTGTTAGAGGAAGAAGACTCCAGGCAACTTTTAGATTCATCACTGATGCAGGAGTGGGTTGTTTTTGTTTTTGTCGTCGTTGTCATGCTGCAGACTGTGTTACTGATATTCCTGTACACTATACGCTCACTAGTTTACCAAGTTCAACTAAGACAGAAAAGTTCCTTTGTTCTGTCATTTCCCTCTTTGTCTAGAGTGAACAGAAATAGGCTCCCCAGGAAAAGTAGTCACAACTCATGTCTCCAGAACTCAGCTACATGGTACCACTTAAATAAATGCTGCTAGAAGTGCTATGGCAATATGTTCTAAGGAGGCAAGAAGCACAAATATAGTAATTCCAAACCTCATACCAACCCAGGTAATGTGCTCCAAATAATTTGTGTATCAGATTTATGTTGGTTCAACTTTAGGTTGTCACGGATGAATATGCATATAACCCACAAACCAGGAGCCGGAAAGCAAAAGAGAGACCTTAAATTTAAACCTATGACTAATTTATGATTATAATACAGAGGAAAAAAGTCAAATGACCAAATACTTGCTACTTTAGATATTACTAATGATATCAGCTGATAGGACTGAAGAAATTGATGAGTTTTCAATGAATTCCAATGCTTATTGTCTCCTATTTTTAATAATTACTTACTATGCTAAAAGATAGAGAAAATACAAAGAATAAGGGGTGTGCTTGACCACAAGAAATCCAGAAGACAATGGGAAGAAAAAAAAAAGACTCTGATAATTACAATGTTCAAAAAACGACTAATTCTTCATTATAGAGTAAGGGGAGGTTCATACATACAAAACAGGGTACTCACAAGAGAGGCCTCCACAGAAGGAATTCTAAGCAAGGAAGGAAAATAGTTCAGATGGAGTGACAATATGGAGATCTTTAAAGGCTGGATAATGGCAAGTAATTTGAGTTAGTTTAGGAGCATTACAATTAATAAAAAGGAGCAGACAATGAGAAATCCACGGTTAGTGAGCTAGTCAGTTGGCTAGGTGATAAATGCAATTAATAAAATATGAAAAGAGCCAGGGCTACATAGTGAGACCATATTTCAAAAAACAAAGCAAAACAAAGTGATTATGGGAAAAACAAGATGGACAAAATACTGAATTAAGATGAGACTGAGTTGTTAGAAGTACAATAATAGTTAACTAGCCAGGAATGGCGGTTCCCACTGTAATCTGAGCACTCTGATGTTGAGGCTAGAGGATGGTAAATCCAAGGCCAGCTAAGATACTTAGGGAGATTCTGTCTCAAAGGGAGGGAAAAAAAAGATAAATTTAAAAGGTCAGGATTGGAAAAACATAATTACAGTCTCAAGGACAAAACATCACTACAACCATTTAAGCCACATTCCCCAGAGTAAACCCTCGAATGGTACCAGGCATTATCTTAGTCATCTGATTTATAGCATTTACTCTGGTTGCCAAGAGGCTTCTTTTGTTTATTTCCTAAGTATGACCACAACTCCCCTCCATTAAGCAAGGCTAAGGGTTTAGCAAGCATTTGCCTATTCATTGAAAAGGAGGGGAAAAATTCACAACAGAGTAAAGTAAGAAGCATGTATTGACTTGTTCTTAGGCCACTGACACAGTGACTTCCTTGTGTGTCGACACCGTTGTCTATCCGTGCTGCATTCACATGCATGCCAGTGCAATGAAGCTATTAGCACAATATAGCCCAACTTCCCAACATACTGCTCAAGGAAAAACTGACCAAAATACAACTTTCCTTGAAAGAATTTACTTAATCTCATCAGATAGGTGGTTTAACACATTTTTAAAACTGCAAATTTTTGTGAACTCAGTATCACATTATTACTTCCATGCATAATCTTTTTTTTTTTTTTTTTTTTTTTTTTGGTTTTTACGAGACAGGGTTTCTCTGTATTGTTTTGGAGGCTGTGGGTCCAGCCTGGCCTTGAACTCACAGCGATCCTCCTGCCTCTGCCTCCCGAGTGCTGGGATTAAAGGCATGCGCCACCACTGCCCAGCTATGCATAATCTTTTTTAAAATCCCACATGAATACAGTTTAATTTATCTGAGGCTTCTTTTATCTTTTACATATCAACATTTAACTTCCAAAAAATATAAAATTCCTAAATTATTTTTAAATCTTCATCTTTAACAGTCTTACTTGATTTAAAATCATGAGAATCACAACACAAAACTGTATACTAACCTAGTTAGCATCAATCCAATGAAGCAATTCATTAGAGTATACAGAAAGGCTAATTCCAGTGAACTACTCACTGGAGCCTTTAAATATGTACATTGTACAAAGACTTTATTTGAATTCCTTAATCTCTGTCAAAGTCTGCCTATCTACACTAGATGTTTGGAAAATACTCATTTGAATATTTCCAAAGAGGCAAGGCTTTGAGCATGTGACTGACTAGCTAGCTATATTAAGCAGCACGCAGTGAATGGAAAGAAAATCCCTTTCAGAATCGTTCTCCAGGACACTAGAGAAGGGCTGAATTTAAAAAAATCTTCAAAAATACTCCACCAAATCAAAAGGTAATAGTAACTTGAAAATGTCTAACTATGTATTATAATGAAATGGAACTTTTTCTATATATTTAAGTTTAAGCTTTGAATAAAAAATGTATACTATTTAATCATGGTAAGCAGGGATTTATTGAATTATCAGAGATATAGCAAGGAATTATATTTGAACACAGGCTAAAAGAAGACTAGCCTAACTTTAGAAATGGTGATAACTCTTTGGTATAGAAATCTGTTCTGTGTTACCAGCTTCACCTGTTAAAGAACACTGGACTAGGAGTCAGACTTGGGCTCTAGTTCTGCCTACTTTAAGACAGGGCTAGACATGCTATGCCCCTTGTATAGAGCCGGTTGTAAAATGACAGACTGATTTTAATCAATTCTCTATTTCCTTCTTTTTAAAAAGTTATGAAATACTCCAATACAGTTGCTTTTCCCATCCCCAAAGAAAGTAAAATGAAGTGAACCTCAGCACTGAGGAATCATTTGGTTTAGGGTCTTTCCTTTCCATTTTTGGTACAACCATTTCGAGTAATATTCTAATTTGTGACTTTAGGTAAGCATGGAGAGGGAGTGCCATTGCTTCTCTCCTGCTTTCACCACACCATTCTCCCAAGCTGCCTTGGCCTTTCCTGCTTTCCTGCTCTGTACACTGCCCCAAATGCCTCACGTTACTAGTTTGCAAAACAGGACAACAAAATCAAGCTCAACCTAATATTCAGAATGCTTAACCCTGAAGTGAGTGACCTAGACAGAAAGCAGGTCTTCTATTAAGAGATGTATAGGAAGGAAGCTTGTTATTTGTTCATTAATAAATAATAAAAAATTATATTATGTGAACATACTAAATAAACACAATTGAGGATATATGATTGTCCATGTGTTTGTGAACTGAATATTAAATTTTATAATCATTTTAAAGCAAAGGAAGATGATGATCAAGCATTTATTCACCATCAGCCTGCTCCTCATGTATGCTCATATTATGGAAATAACAACATCAAGTTCTACAGAAAACTCAAGTCTGACGACCTTAGTTTCCACCATGAGTTCACAGGCCACAACAAGCCTAAGTACTGCAACTACAACACAGCTTGGAAGCAGCCCCAAACCTGTGATAAAGCCTACAGCGCAGATCTCCAAGACCACCTGGCAAGGAAACATGTCTTCAAGCTCCTATATAAATACTGCAAAGACTGTAGCAGGTGGTGGCACAGCACTCAAGCCAATATCCAGCATTTACTCTCTTTGTTTGTGGAGTGTTCTTACTCTTTTGTGCATACTCAAGCAGAAGTGAGCGCAATACCTGCTCACTTCAGTCCCTCATAATGATAAGCACACTAAAAAAATACAATTTATTGTAATTTACTAAAGAAATTATCATTATTCTAGTGTGATCTGGGTTTCAGTAAGTTTTAATTGTATAAATTTAAACACTACATTAATATTATAGTTTCCTTTCTATAAGTGTAGTGCCCTATTAAATGCCAAAATAAGCAAAACATTACATTTGTGTTTTAAATGTGGGAAAAATCAGAACTCAAATGTTTATATTAAAGGTACAAGAAGAAATAACATAAGGAGGCAATTAACCAAAGGGGGAAGGAGATAGTACGACATAAAGAGTGGTATGGGAGAAGCTGTTTTGAATTTTATTATTTTTAATTAAATAGATTGAAAATACTGGTATGGTTTAAAGAACAGTTTTTTATAAAACATACTCATCAGTGGAATGTTATTTTCATGGGAGTGTGATAGCAATAGGTCATCCCAGTACAGTTTAAAAGCAGAATACTGCTGATCCAATGATAAGAGTACATTTTGAATAAATCTTGATTTGTGTTTCAAAAGATGCTTAGAACTAAGAACTCACTTTATAGAGAAGTGTGTAGGGGAAAGGGACCAGTCAAAGAAACACACCCTGAGCAGAGCCAAAGAAACACACTTTGGCCCTGCAACCACAACCAAATAAATGTGCCCCGACCCTAAAACCAGTGCCAGAGGAACACACTTGGTCCCTGGAATCAGAGTCAGTGAAAGAAATGCACCCTGGCCCTAAAATTGGAGCCAAAAGGCTAAAAAGGATCAGAGAAAGAAACACACTTTGGCCCTGAAACCAGAGCCAAATCTGACCCTAATCCTGTGTAAAAAAGTAACCAATCCCGGAGCAGAGCTCTAGCCAATCTGAGCTCAGCACTGAAATCGGACCAATCCCTACTCTGGAAAAACTTCCCCAACCCTATATAAACCCTGTGTATGTTCAGCTTGGCTGGTCCAGCTGCCTTCCAATAAATCCGTTTGGATGAGCTTTGAGTAAAGATCTTCTTTTGCGGCAGCAACAGAGCAGAGACGACCCTGGGCAGAGCAGAGCGAGCAGCGCTATAACACAGCGCTACAACACTTGCCAGGAAACCTTCCTTGGCAGAGCGGAGTTGTTACACTCTGCTACCAGCTCCCGGCTCCCAGCTCCCCGCTCCCAGCTCCCCGCTCCCAGCTCCCCGCTCCCCGCTCCCCGCTCTCCGCTCTCCAGGAGCAGAGCTGAACTGTAACAACTTCGCCCTAGAAACCTCCTGCCTAGCAAAACTGCTACACTAGGCGAACATCCCCAGCTGGAAGACCCTGTCCTGCCAGAGTGGAGCTGATACACTGGAGAAGCCTTTCTCTGAGGCAAGGCTGTAAGCTGCCAAGCTTACTGCAACCTGTGGTGGTCCTTGGCTCCCGAGTGCCAGAATACCTGACCCACTCCTGTTCCCTCCTGTCCCGACCCATCCCGAAACACTTACAAAGTGTCTCTTAACTGTTCACTGGATTTTTTCCCCTTTTTATCCTCTTCCTTTTCCTCCTCTTCCTTCCTCCTTCTCCCATCTCCTTTCCTTCTAGACAAGGTTTCTCTGTGGCCCTGGCTGTCCTGAAACTCTCTCTGTAAATCAGGCTGGCCTCAAACTCACAGAGATCTGCCTGCCTCTAGCTTTTGATTAAGTGCTGAGATTAAAAGAATATTGGTTGGATTTTTATGTTCGTATACAGGGATGGATTTAACTCAACAAACTTCGTATGCTAACAGTAATAATTCCTGTGGTTTATTATCAGTGAATTAGGAACTTCAGATTAGGTAATGATTCTAACTAGCTGAGCTACCAAGAATAAAATGACCCAGCAGAACTCAAATTGACTACAGATGAATCATTTGGGGTGTCAGCTTAAATACACAAATTAAGTCTTGTCCCTAGATTTTGATGTGGAAGTTTGGAGAGCATATACAATGTTTAGTTATTCAGATTTTTCTGACAGCTAGGTTTGAGTTTCCGTTGACAGTGAAACAGTATCAGAAGATTACTGTGAGGATTAAACAAAAACGAGGTAATGTGCAGTTTGTCTGATATAAAAAGGCATTAAGTAAATGCAAGTAATAATCTATATTAATGTGACAAGAGAAGTTGTGAAGAACCCCACAGAGGAAACTCCACTGAAATTCTTAGGTTTTAAATTTTTAATTACTTAAGAAAAAATAAAAAAGGGACAAATGACAGAAATATAATATTGGTCCTCTGCATTCTACAGGCATGTTCACTCTCCTGAGAGACTAGGAGCCATGTGAATATGCTATTGCTTTGTTTGAAAGTGTGTGTCTGAGTGTTGAACCCTGGACCTCATGCATGCTGAACAGACGCTCTATTGCTGAGTTACACTCCCAGCTCAAATGTAAACAATTTCTTTAAATTTTTATTTATTTATTCATTATGTAAATATTGTGTTCTGTACTGCATGTGTCCCTGCATGCCAGAAGAGGGCACCAGGTCCCATTATAGGTGGCTGTGAGCCACCATGTGGTTGCTGGGAATTGAACTCAGGACCTCTGGAAGAGCAGGCAGTGCTCTTAACCGCTGAGCCATCTCTCCAGCCCTCAAATGTAAACAATTTAACGTGTATAGTTATATACAGTTCTCTGTACGCACACTCGCTATCTCTCTCGCTGTCTCTCTCTCTGTCTCTGTCTCTGTCGTCTCTCTGTCGTCTCTCTCTCTCTCTCTCTCTCTCTCTCTCTCTCTCTCTCTCTCTCTCTCTCTCTCTCTCTCTCTCTCTCTCTCTCTCTCACTTTGTACCTTGCAAGAAAATATAGGAGAAATGTTTTTTGGGTCTGCTTGTTTGTAAGAAAAGTTTTCATGGTAGCCAAGACTGGCCTTAAACTACCTATGTCCCAGATTGGTTTTGAACTTGAAATTTCTCTGTTTTAGCCTATCCAGTGCTGGAACTGCAGGGTATACCACCACATTCAGCCTTTCACGCGTTTTTCAATGGTACAGGGAGAGAGTTTCCACTACTTCTGTCTGCTTACTTGTTCACTTTTCTTCATCTGGTATTGGCAATCCATTTTTCCTCTGGCAAATAAACACTGCTCTCATCCTTGCCTTTCAGTTCATGCCACCCACGTGTGCCTGGCTTTACCTCTGAGCTCTAGTCATAAGTTCATGATCAAGCCTAAAGAGTCAAAGGGTCCATCTTCCTTGATAGAGTGACAGTCCTGGAAACTGACATGGGACTCAAGACAAACCAGCAAAGCTAAGTACTTTTGCTGAAGCTGCTAGGAAAGGCATTTTCTACTGGACTTGTTGGGCTGAGAGAACACCAACTACTACTATTTGCAACCCCTTTCTGGCCTTGATGGTCATCAGGAACTCACACATATACATAAAATAAAAATAAATGATTAAAAAAAGACATGTCCAAAGATGATAATACTATATCATTGATCCAATTTAACATAATTAAAACCTGTATGTAAGGACAGTCACTGATGAACACTGAACACTGAATAGCTACATTTTGAATTATATGACTATTGGGCCACAGTACATGCACTTGGCTTGGAGTAGCCAGGTCTCTATTAGCTGGTCAACATCTAGCACAGAAAGTCTTCTAAAAAAGATGATTTTCAACTGACCAACATATTTCTGCTCAGGAACCTCAAGTATGCAATACTGTAATAATGAAGGGGTCAATGGCTGAGCTAAAGTTGAAATGATAAGGAAATCAGAAAACCATGTAATCAAGTTAAACATAAAACCAAGAAAATAAGAGTGTATATTGGATTTCGCAGCAACTATGGTTTACTTCTATTTCCATCTGGATGGCTCTACTGATTCATACTTTTCTTTGGGCCCATCTTGGTGGTGATATATTATTTATGATTTAATAAAGCTTGCTGGAGGGTTCATGATCCAAAGCCAGCCACAAGCTATAGAGGTCAGGCAATGGTGATCTACACCTTTAATCCCAGCAGTCACACTAGTTAGCCATAGAAGCTGGGCAGTGGAGGTACACACCTTTAATCCCAGGACTCAGGAGACAGGCAGATGGATCTCACTGTGAGTCCAAGGCTACACAGAGCTACATAAGATTGAATCAGTCTAAAGGAGAATTAGAGCTCGCGCCTTTAATCCCAGCCCTAGAGAGGTATATAAAAGACAGGAGCCCAGTGTCTCAGGCTGCATTCAGAGATTTAGTCTCCAGCCACATTGAGGAGAGGCAGCAATCTGAGGCTTGGAGGAGAGCTCATGGAGACAAGATCAACCTTTTCAGACTGAGGTAGACTAGTAGCTTGCCTGCTTTGCTTCTCTGATTTTCAGCTTGAAGCTTGAACCCCAATATCTGTCTCTGGGTCTTTTGTTTTTCATGTTACACATCCTCGAGAAAATAAGAAAGATTTGGTAACAACCAAAGCCAAACTAAAATATCTTAATTGATACATCAGATCTCACAGGTAAAAATCAAGACTTGGGGACTTAACAAAGAGGACAGTAAGAAAGGAAAATATTTAAACTGATAGGTAATAGAAGAGACATTGAAAGAAAACACGGAATGAAGATAAGGCCAATTTGACATTCAAACCTGAAATGTCTGTAGAATCAGAATTCACAATTCAAAAATGTTGCCTAATGCATAGTAGTCTAAGCCACTGAAATACAGGAATGGCCTCGAAGGAGTCAGACTCCAGAGCTCTGGACAAGATGACTGTACAGACAAGGCTTTCACTTACTACCAAGACAAGGAGAAGCAGGGCCTTGCTTTTCTCTTTCTACTGTGCCCATTTATGCTGGAGCTAAGTATCACATCCAATGAAAAATGAGGGCAAGGAGGAGCTCTACTAGGTCTCAGAAATGAAAAGACACCAGACATGTAAGACCAGCACTCAAAGGCTGGAGAGATGGTTCTGCAGTTAAAAGCACTAGCTGTTTGTCCAAAGAATCTAAATTTGATTTCAAGATCCCACATGGCAGCTCACAGCTGTCTCTAAATTCAGCGGAGGGGATTTGGTGCTCTCTCTGGCCTCTGAAGACACCAGGCACACCTGTGATGCACAGATAAACATGCATGATCAGACACATTTGGGGGGGGAAAAAAAGGTCAGCATCCAGGAGGCTGAAGCAGGATGATCATGAATTATAGGCCAGGAGGTTATTTAGTGAAATTCCACTTTACAGCATAAAGCAAAACACCAACTAAAAAGTTGATTTGTCAACTTTTTTCAAAAAAGAAAAAAGACCTTCAACTTACACATAACTTTGTCACAAAGTCATACAAGAGACACAGTAGTTAATAAGTGCACTTCCTTCCTTCTCAAAGATGATCAGCTAAATAGAAGCAGAATGGAAACCCCTGGCAACTTCAAGCCCATTACCATCTAGGCATAATTTACAGCTGTGGACACCCCACTGACCAGATCACAGAAAGCCAGGGCCATTTGCTTTCCTTAACCTTACAGTTTCTTATTCTGAAGGAGAAAAAGAAAATCCAGCTTTCACACCTTCAACCTTTGCTACTGTAAACTACTAAGAACTCAAAGGGGGTTAGAAATTGAGGCATACATCTACCTTCCTCTCCAGTCCTCGCTACTTAGATTTATAGGGAGAGTCAAGATACCATGGTAGTACTAAAGGTTAAAGTTGAAATACAAACATGGCTTATCTTAAGGGCAAAAGAAAATTACTTTAGAAAGAGCAACGAAGACAAGAACAGAGTTTCACGGAACTATAGGGGTTCCCCCTCCCATTTTCTTTTGGGAGGTGGGGTCTTTTTGTCCTTACAGTTGTTAAAAAGGACTAGCAAAGATAAATGTGATTTTCTGTAACTTTCTTCTATTCCCTGGTTCCCAGTGCTCGGGACAGCTAAGTATCTAGTTACATAAGGTCCACATCTTCCATTCTTCTTTCTTCTCCTACTTTGTATGATTTCTCAGCTACTGTCAGATTTTTGTTAACATAACCATCAAGTAAATTAGCATAATTACTCGATTTTTGTTAAGTTTGGGAAACTCAAAAAGTCTAGATTCCATAGCTGCTGGGCTGCCCTTGGCATTTCCATGTCACTAGCTGCTGTGTAGCATTACTCAATCTTCAAACTTCAGCCACATTGAGTTACACCGTTCCAATGGGAGGAAAAGTCTAACCAAGTACCATCCATCACATATTACTTTTCACATGGCAGGGAAGGCAATGCAAGCCCACTGCCAAGGAGAAGGAGAAATTCACAGCATAGCTAACAACATCATAGTCTATTTCCAGGCCACCCCATCCATCTTTACATCCATTTCCCACAGCTCTTGAAATTATTTTTTAAATCATCCCGATGCAATCTAAAACAATACATTGTTAAGAATTCTCAGAAACAGGCTCTTCAAGTATTTTCTTCTTAAAAGGGGGAGATTCCAACTGTTGTTACAGATATTACAAAATCAGAATATATCTGAAAACAAACGAAGGTTCTTTCTGACTGTTCCCTTTGATAATAACTTCTTGTGTGGTATTTTAATATCTGATGTACCAGAGAGACAACACTGGGAAGCAAGTGATCTGAAACTAATACCGAATAGTGAGCAGCATTTTAAAATAAGATGGCTGACTATCTAGGAAAGTGTATCTTTAAGGGCTATTAATTCAAATAGGAAAAAAATAAATCCAACCACTTTCCTTCATTTGCTATCATTTTAAAAAAAACACATTAAAAGAGACTAAAATGTTAACTCTTACCTTCGTGCAACATAATAAAATATAGGATTCCCAGCTTTAGAAGTGCCAGCTTGGTAGAAGATACTTAAAGTTTTCAAAGCCTTGAACTCTTCTTTCTCATGTACCTGATGCCTAAAAGAAAGAGCATTATACAGATTGCTATGCAGATAAATAAATACTGACAAAGCAACAGGTTTTCTGAAGGGTAAAATGTCTAGATATTGTCCTGAGTCATGAGACCTTTCTTGGAGCTATCCAATAATACTGCTGGACAGAGAGAGAGCCCAGGATTACCTTTTACTTATGCTATTTTTTCCCCTGATGAAAGTTTTTTGAGGGTATTTTTCTCCCTTGCAAGTTCAGTTATCAATCGTCTCGTTTATGGATTTTACACGGATGAAAAGGGCTTTGCTTCTGTGTGTTCTTCTTTGATTTATATTAAGTGTATTTTCAAACAGCATGAACATCTTTTTCCTGATGATTACTCAGCTTTTATTTTGAGTCTGGCCTAGTCTCCCTGGTTATGAATACTTTTTTCACATTAAATTCCCAGATGTACTGAAATAAATTTCTGAAAGAGTGGCTTAAGTTTTAGAGTCTGCTTCTTTTGTAAGTTTTAATTGATTTATAAACCCTAGGATATGAATGAAAAAAATCAATATATTACTTCTTCCTATTCTCAATAAATGTGGCTTCTGTAATATTTACTAGACATACATTGGATTGGATCTTCTCATTCTATCTTTCCTTTCCCTCGCCTCCTCTGTCTCCAAAACAGGGTCTCACTATATTAACTTAATTCCTGTAAATTAACTTCTGACTGTCAGATGAGAGTGTTTTCTTTCTGTCTTTGGCACATACTAAGAATAAAACAACCAATTCACAGCCTCAATATAGCATTTGCAAAATATTAAAGAGCCATATTTGGCGAACATCAAGTGTGTGTCTAACAGTGAGAACCTTTGAGTTCATGGATTAGATTCTTCTACATGAGATGCAAAAACAAATGTCCACAGAAACATCTGTTATAGATATACTGGATATACTGTATTTTCTGGGCCTTACTCTAAAGGAGGTTAAAACCATTAACTTTTTGAAGGATTCAAAGTTAGTATGATAGAAAGAATTTAGAACTTAAATTCAAAAGAACCATGAATCAGGTGTGAATCTAGGTCAATTAAGTTATGTCTGTTGAATGTATTTTCCTATTATAATAAGCAAATAATGTTACTTATATGTTCTTGAAAGTATTAAATGAAAAACATGTCAAAGAGAGTCAGCAAGATAGCTCAGCAGCTAAAAGTATTTGTCACTAAATCTGACAAGCTGAGCTTGATCCCTGGGACACATGGAAGGAGAGAAATGACTCCCACAGACTGTTCTCTGACTTCATATACTAGCCGTGGGCAAGGGACACCAGCACACACATAAATAAACAAACAAAATGACAGCATTCTGTCTATAAGAAAATCAATATATAAAAACAACCAAACATGGTCACATTAATGCAGTACAAGCATATTTAATAAGTGGTATGGTGGTAAACTTTGTTTCTGAACCCCCCAAAATACAATCACCCTTTTAAAGTTGTGTTTTACCTGGTCATAAACTCCTCAAACTTGGAACTGGTAAGGTTAAGGCTGGACCAGTGTGTATCTGCCACAGGCTTATGCTCTGGAGGACCCAGGTATGCAAGAAGTGTGGCCATCTTATCAAAAGGTCGTCTTCCAACAGCTTTATGATCCCTAGCAACAACAGACAACACTCAGGAAATGGTCCTTCACATTAACCGGGCAGTCTAAAATTCCTTAGACCATCACTGGTTGCTTTTCTTTTAACTACTTATTCCTTGCTCATTTGTAAGCAGAATGGAAATATCTCAGTATCTTAAAAACACAACCATTTCCCACCTATAAAATTGATTATTGAGTTCAATTATTTTGTAGAATTGATACCTGTAACATTCTCATCTATTTTTTTCTTTTTTTTAATTAGTTTTTAATTTAGGCTAGAAACAACCTTGTTTCACATGTCAATCCCAGCTCCCTCTCCCTCCCTTCCTTCCTCGCCCTCCCCACCAGGTCTCCCCGGTCCCCCACCCAATCTCCACTCCAATCCCCAAGGAGGGTGAGGCACACCATAGTGGATCTCCAGTGACTGTCATTTCATCCAGGGCAGGGCCTAGGCCCTCCCCCAAGAGTACCGGCTGAGAAAGCCTCCCATATTGTGGTATGGGCACTCAAAGTCTACTTGTACGCCAGGGATAAATACTACCCAAGGCCCCATAGATTACCTAGGCCTCCTCACTGACAGCGTTTAGGACATGGGTATATGTAACCACAGATAACTGAATATTTTTAAAGTTCCTTCCTTGCTTTCTTCCTTCTTTCCTTTTATCTTTGAGACAGTGTTTTACTATAAGTAGGTTCAGGTTGGCCTCAAACTCATTATTCATTCCCTTGACCTCCCAAGTTCTGGGATCATATCTGCATATACTATTATATACAGCTCAAAAGTATATGTTTTTAGATGTCTGATTTTATTTTTTATTTAAGTGGGTATCAGACCCTGTGGAGGTGGGATTAGGAGGCAGTTGCAAGCCACCTGACGTGGCTCATATATCTGAATGCTTACACAGTGCTCTCTCTCTTTCCCCTACCTTAACATGGCTCACATATTTGAACGCTTACACAGGGTTCTTTCCTCTCCTCCCTCTCTCTCTCTCTCTCTCTCCTCCCCCCCCTCTCTCTCTATCTATCTTGACATGGCTCATATATTTTAATACTTACACAGTGCTCTCTCTCCTACCTTCCCTCCCTCTCAGAAAATAAAATGTTAGTAAGACCTGTGGTTATATCAAAATTAGACGATGTTCAAGCTAGTTGACAGACATGGAACTATCAAATCACTGTCTGAATTTTCATGCTTGAAATATACAATTTTTTAAACAGCACATTTGTTGCAAATATGTATTCAAATCAAAAAAGAAAAGGTTCATCTGCAAAAGTTCCAGGTTATTTTGTTGTCACAAGGATGAAGCACTTCCTTTTCCTATTTTAGTGGCACATGTCAGTCATATCCATGCCAAATTTAATCCATTAATAATTCATAAAGAATTAAAAAAATCTTTTAAGTTTCCATCTCATAACTGTTTAGCCATAGCATTATGGTCTCCCATCTTTCTGACAAATGAACAACCTATTTTTTATTGGCAGATAAGGGAACTCTTCAGACGTAGAAATTGAAGCCCTTTCAATCCTATATAATTAACAAAGAAATAACTCTCAGAAAGGACAGCATGCAATTTATGTCACAAGAGGCATTGACTACAACAGCTAATAAAACAATTTTAGTTACTGGATCTGTTTTCTCTCTTTTGCATTCCCCCACCCCTCTCTTTAGCAGTCTCTATTTCTCTTTTTATTCCTTCTCTCCTTTAAGACAGGGTCTTACTATGTAACCCTGACAAGCCTGGAATTGTCTATGTAGACCAGCCAAGCTGACCTTGAAATCAGAGATCCACCTGGGATTAAAGCATATGGTACCACATCTGGCTGATTTGGTGCTTTCATATATGAAGCATTATTTACATACACATAATAGTATCACAAGCTCTACATCAACAACAGTGTTATTGATCATTTAACATGAGTTGGTTTAGCCATATGTATGTAAATCTGCATTTCTCTTTCCGAATCACAATTCTTAAGGCAAAAAGCTGCAAAGTAGAAGGTTTTATTCAGGATCAATAATTTTATTAATGCCATGTAAACTAAGCTTTTAATTTCCCCCCAAGACTGAGAACACATACCTGTTGCTGGAAAGATACTGGCCAATTTTCTCCTGATTGTTCCAAAGCAGCCGATGTAAAGCAAGTACATTGCCATCACTAATGAAGGAAAGACTATGATTTACAGCATCACTTGTGGGACAATCTGATGCTATATCAAGGAAAAATCTGCAAAAATACAAAGCCATTACAGTTTTTAATATCAGGCATACTCAAACATATATGAATTAAATTTAAAAGACTATAGTAATATAGTAATTGTGACTGCAAATGGGGAGGGCTTATGCCCACAGTAACTGCCCCTAAACCATACAAGAAGAATAAAGAAAAACCTGACTTTCTATGTTTCTGATACTCAGTTTCCACTTCAGCATCAAAGTAGGTTCCAGAAGTTGGAGAAAAACAAATTTAGATGGATAAAACACACTGCCTGCCTGTCAGAGACAGGATAGGAACTTTGGTTCTCTTAACTTTCCGTGAGCAGTCACCATAGTATTTTCTACCTGAAAATAGCACTCACTTTCCCCCCAACAGTCTATAGCTCAGCTCCAACTTCTTAGTAGAAAGACCAGAAAGAACTGTGTTGGTGACAGACAGGAAGAGCAGCTGCAGAAGGCCAATGGACACATCAGTGACATCAACAGTTTCAAAAGAACCTGAATCATCTTTTACCAGACAATCTTTCTTTAAAAGCAACTCTGGCAAATACAATATTACCCCAGGGTTACAAATAAACCAACAACTCAGAAAAAAGTGATGAATTAAGTTTTGGAAATCGGCAGAAAAATATTCTTTAGTCTTAAAGCCTCAACAGTTGTTTATTCATACACAAATCTTCTGATTTTTGCATTGTTTGGCATAAAGAGGCATTGTTTTAAATTCAGATAAACGTTTAAGTTGAAGGAACAAAAATATTATTAACACCAAAACATTCTAATAAATCATGTATCTTCTGGTTTTAGTTTTCTTATTTTTAGATTTTATTAAGTACACAGTGTTCTGCCTGTATGCCAGAAGAGGGCAGCAGATTCCACTATACATGGTTGTGAGCCACCATATGGTTGCTGGGAATTAAACTCAGGACCTCTTGAAGAGCAGCCAGTGCACTTAACCACTGAGTCATCTCTCTAGCCCCTAGTTTTAGTTTTTAGTAAAAAGAAATCTGAACCCATTTTGCAGCAATATCAAAGTTAGGAAAAGCCAACAGTCTCTCTCAGTTTCCAAAGAAGGAAACTACTGTGAAATTAAGAGTATATAAATTTTTCATATGTCTCATAATAAAGTAAGGCAAAATGTGCTCTTAATCTAGAAAGGATATGGGAAAAATAGAATCATACATATAAACTTAATGTAGCCTATATACATGGACTGGAGTGAAACGGAAGCATGGCATACCTTCGTGCCAAGTCAAAGTTGCTTTTCACAAAATCATTAAAAGGCCTCATATGTTCTTCTTTTGTGAACAGGACATGATTGGCTATGCTCTGAAGTATCTAAACAATCAAACAGGACTATGAGTAATCAGATTATTTGCAATATGAAATCTATACATTAATACAGTCTTTAAAATATAAATTTTCCATTGATATTTCTACTGGTAGTTCAAATAAATTATTCCTTATTGTGAAAATCACCCTAGATATTGCCAATTCTTTTCAAATTGAAATATTATTACATATACATGTTACATATATAAAATATATTTTAAAGTATCTCTCTACTGCATACATGTGTGTGACATGTGCACACATGCAAGCATGTTTGCAAGTGTGTGACTTGGTAGATGTGTGCATGCATGTGAAGGCTGCCTCCATCATTATACATCCTCTATGTTGAGACAGTATCTCTCCACTGAACCTGAAGCATTTGGAGCAGTTAGTATAGCTAGCTGCTTGCTCCAGAGATCCAGGTATTATTGGCTGAATGTCATGCCCCCCTGACATTTACCTGGATGCTGGGGAACTGAACTCCAATCCTCACACTAGCATGGCAAGCACTTTTACACATGACCCATGTTCCCAGTCTCAAATGTTAACAACAACATAAAATAATAAGAAAGAAACACTGCAATCTCTATTTCTATTTTCAATTCAAATTCCCCAGAGTATGTACACAGAAAAACCTCACTTAATTGCTATTATATATTCCCATCACAGGGCCCATCAGGTACATATATTAAGAATTCCTCTGTAATATATACAAATAAAAACAAAAGGTACATAACTTAAAACCATGGGACTTTTAAAGGTAAACTGAAGACCAAGTATTTTGAATATGAAACACTAAAAATTTAGTTGGAAGAGAAATTAAACATTTCAAGAGTATCAAAATAAATTCACCTTTGACATTAACTTCAAGCCCCTTTCGATTCTAGGTGGTGGCTTTTTATCTAAAATCCCTGCTTCATATGGCGAGACAATGGCAGGATTGATAAATCTGAGGAACATGGCACTTCCTACCGCACCGATGCTGTTCTGAGGGAAACGTTGGCTAACCACCTGAGAACAAGGAGTTGAGACTTGAGTAGACAGTTTGCATTGAAATAATGAGGTGGAAACAAAAGCTTGAAGGTCAAACTCTGCACAAAACATGAATTGTCAATCTAGTGAATGACCTGTTTTTAACTCTTTTCTCCCCAAACACCAGAAAGTAAGGCTTGTCCATAACTGTAATCATGGGTGATTTTTAAGACACAAGTAAATATCTCCAAGAGAAGAAAAAAACCTCCTCATAGAAGAGACCTGAAAAAAAGATTTTACTTTATAATTATTACGGGCAGCAAAAGTAGACTCAATTTCACATAAAGATCAACAGACATGAAAGTGTGGTTGACGTTTAGCAGGCCCTAAAAGCTACATTTCTAGCAGCATGCCACCTACACACCCTCTCTGTAACAGGAAGTAGTTGCACTTTGTACACCTATTAAAATACATATTTTAGTGCGGCTTACCATATACATTTTTTCTTAAGATTTCTACTGAGTGAAAAATTTACTTACAAGTCATATTCCTGCCAGTAAACTTTTCTTCATAACCATGGTTCCTACTATAAGGACCTACCTATTATTTAAACCACTGGAAAAGCAGGAACTCTTGGAGACCTAAAAGAAAAAAGGATCCCACCAGAAGACAGAAAGCCCATGTCTACCCCAATTTGTTCTTTGGCTTAATAAGCAAAAAGTTACAGGGTTCAGGAAACAGCTGTCCGTACTGAAAAGTCATACAAAGCCAATGTAAATGGGCCTATCCTCTATAGAAAATATTCTGCAAATATAAAGGAACAGGCACAACAGACTGGGAACACAGTCATTTCCTCCTAATACCTCCCATTTTAAGATTACACATGGAAATGGAATTGTTCTTTATTTTTATTATTTATTTGTTTGCTTATTTGTCTGTTTTTTGTTTTTGTTTGTTTTTTTTTTGCTGTTGTTGTTGTTGTTTTCCCCTCTGAGACAGAGTTTCTCTTTAGACCAGGGTGACCGCGAACTCATAGAGATCCACCTGCCTCTGCCTCTTGAGTGCCAGTATTAAAGGTATGTGCACCATCACCCAGCCAAATTTCTTTTTTAAAAGAAAACTTAGGATACTTTAATCTCAAAAGCTATTCTAGTTTGGCATGACTGTGATGTTGGAGGCCTAGCACTCATAATTCTGGGAAATATACGAATAATCCTGCATCTCAAAGGCTCATAGGGTGGGGAAACGAGAAAATGGGGTTTATGTACAGAATTACATAACACTTATCTTTACCAGTGTCTTTACTTATCATTAATTCAAAGACTCAATTCCAAATTAACTCTGGCTATTACACGTTACTCTGGCCCATTTTATGTTTCACAGGATCCATAATTATTTAAATTATTATTCATTGTTTTATATGTGCATGGTCATTTTGCCTGCATGTAAATTCTGTGTACCATGTACATGCCTGATTCCTGCAGAGGTCAGAAGTGGGCATCGGATCTCCTGGAACTGACATTACAGATGTTGTGAGCTTAGGTGCTGGGAATTGAACTTGGTCCTCTGGAAGACCAGTGCTCTTAACCACTGAGCCATCTCTTCAGCCCAAGAGTCTGTATCTTTAATGTGTCATTACCCATAGCCTATAATCTCAAAATGATTTCCTATCATTTCTGATGAAAAAAATAGGAAAGATTTCAGCAAATGATTTTTTGTTGTGGTCACAGAACTGGCAGCAGAGCTTAGCATGGAGTTGCATTTTCCTTTTTCCTTACCCTGTGATACTGAAGGAGCTCTGGGTCACAATTCTTTTGGGTGCTTACAGCACACAAGAACAACCTTAGGAAATCAGGGAAACTGGGAAGTTGGCTAAATATAGACCTCTTTTGTAGCTAAATATAGTCCTAGATACAGAAATAGGAAGACATCCAAATGTGCTTACTCTTCTAGGATAGAACTTAACATCTTTGGGAACTAGAACCTCAAATCTGATAAAAAGAAATTCATCACATAATTTCAGAATGTGGAAAGACAAATGCTGACATTGAGTTCTTTTAAAATTTCCAAAGTTTAGTTGAAAGATACAAAAGTATCAATAAACTAACAAGACATGAAGAAGGAAGAAGGCTAAAACTGCCTTTTGGGGAGTCATGCTCCCAGGCCACTAAGTACTTGGATTTAACTTTAAGCAGGTGGTTTTTAAAATGGTAATATTTTCAGTTTAACCCATTAAAATCCTGATATAGTTTTAAAAGGCCCAACATCATAGTTTTCTTTAAAGAACTAGTTCTTTTTTAAATGTCTATGAAAGTGTCTCATAAATGTCAATAATGGTCTGAACGTGGTTGTTTAAGAGGCTAGGAATGGGGGTATGTACATAGAATCCCAGCACGAAGAAGACTGAAGCAAGAGCACTGCTGTGAGTTCAGGCCACCTTGGGCTATGAAGTAAGACCTGTTTCAAAAACACAACAAAACAGGTAGCTACCTACTAATTTTCTCTAGGAAAAAGATCTTATAAAGTACAGCTTACATTGGTTCCTGGTCTACATTTGAAAATACTCAGCTTCTGAACTTAAGGAAACCCTGAATTAATTACTTCCAAAGAAGAGTATTACAAAATTATTGAAGAACTATTTCAACTTTTAACAATTTTCTACATCCTTAAAAATAATTTATGTCAAAAAGTTTTCATATACTGTAAAATATGTAACATTGATAGTGATACCTATATTGTTTGAAATAAAACCTGACAAATTTAATACCAACATAAAAAGTTTCATGGACCAATTTATAAATTTTTCTTTCATCACTACTTAACATCAATGTAATTTTAACCAAAATTGCATACTAAACCATTTTTTTGTTTTGCTTTCCAACATATGGTTTCTCTGTGTAGCCCAGGTGGTCCTGGAACTCCTTCTATAGACCAGGCTGGCTTCAAACTCACAGATTCACCTGCTTCTGCTTCCAGAGTGCTGGGTTTAAAGGTGTGCGTCACCATGTCATGTCCAAGCATGTTGTTCTTTATTTCTAATCTATAAAACTCTAATTTGGATCCAAATGATTATCTACATGTAAAATCGATAACTCTATATACTGAAACCAATGATCAGTTAATGCCCCCTTTACTTCCTTTGGTAAAGTTGAACTACAAAAATCAGATAACCAATTACACATGAGCAGAGGATCACCAGCTGTACAGATGAAATCCTTCAAAGTCTGCATTAGACAGGTGACTTCTCTAGTAATCTAAGTACACAGTATGTTGAGTATGGCAAACTGAATCAACTGTAATGTGTCAACATAGCTAAACACCAAAAACTAAAACCTTCTCTCTGTATTTCATTTATTACAAAGAACGTCAGCTTACTCTTAAAAGAAAAAAAAATAGATCCTGTTAAACAATTTTTAAAAATGGCATTCTAAATTGTACAATATCTAGTATGGCTCACAGTATAGAATCTGTTCTGAAATACTGCCAATTCAACCCCCTTACTTCCTTGAAGATTATAACCTGTGCTGAAAAACACATTCCCGAAAATTTAGTGTTACCAGAAAAAATATATATGTATGCATATCACATATATGTATATATGTATATATGTGAAAATAACTACTAGAAAAAATTCCAAGGAATAACTTTATATGAAACCATAATAAATGTTAGGAAAGCTATAAAACATGCTCTAGAGAAACACAGAAAGCCTGACTTTAATTGTGTTATGCTACACAATGTTATTAGTATAACATTAAACAAGAATGTTAGAAACAGCAAATGAATTTCCATAGTGGTGATGTAGACTGTTAAACCCACAAATGCTGAGAATGAGAAGGCCAAAGCATTAGAGGAAAATATTTTAAGCAGGAGAGCCATTCAATCCAATCCATTTGTTCATAGATGATCAATTTTACTTAATATTCAAAAGGAAAGTTCTGAATAAACATAATAAATACATGAGTCTCTAAAGTTTAATTTAGTTCTGAATTTAAGTGCAACTATAAATGTAAAGCTTTATTTTATGTAAAGCTAAAGCAAGAAGTGAAAGACAGAACCAGACAAACATGATTTTAAATTGGTCTTTTTTAATAAAATTACCTCCAACTTGTGAAAGTTTTCTTTACATCATTCTCTACAATCATTTGGATTAAGTGAACAAAAACAGGACTAAACTGGATCTGGGTAAGTCACACCCCACAGATGATAAAATTAATGCAAGTTATACTGTGAACAAATGATATTCATAGGAAGAAAATAATTATGGCAATCATAATTTTCTTCCTTTTACAAGAAAGCAAGGTCAGAGGCAGGCAATATACCCAAGTCATGTTTGCACAATGAGGTGCTCCTGCATAAACTTGACCTCACTGAATTTTCTTTTGACTGAAGTAACAGTATGTTTTTTTCTCTGAAGGAAAAGTAACTTGTAACTTCAGCATTAAAATTTCTATAATCTAAGCACAAATGTCTAAATCATGGATGGCTGAGACCATCAAGGTAAAAATGTAAGGAATAAAAATTAAAATTTAGCAACTTTGAGATTAGACTTAGAAAGTCTAGCATGTGCAAATCCTGACTTTGATGTTTAGCTCCAGAAGAGGAAAAAAACGACACATCCCTACCCATAATCTATTTATTAAGAAGTGCTTTTTTTTCTAGAAAAAGAAACCACTCACATGACCTGCAAACAAGAAGCAAGAATGAGACAGTCAGCATCCCCTAAGGCCTTGAAATTAAGTTTCTTTTGCATTCATTTACAATTTAAAAAATAACAATAAAATTAGATCAAGGGTAGTCAATGTAATAAATGCACACAAAATGCCTTTGGGATAAATCAAACCAAAGGAACACAGAGAATGTTTCAATGTAACTTAATTCCAGGGTTAATTGAAATGAGAGCTATTTTGTGCCAGAATTAGTAGAATGATTTTACAGTGAAGGTCAAATAGCTGAAGTGAAGATGTTCTTAACAAATAGCAAAGATTTGGGGTTTGCTTCGAAAGAAACAGCTAATAAAAAGTTCTCCAAACTTACTGATTTTTTGTTTTCCTTTTTTTCTTTTACTGTAGCTTTATTCAGTAGGGAGTGGCAAGTTGCCTACAGAACAGAGATGAGCACAAACAAGTCACAGCACCGACCACATACAGCAACAAAAACAATGTTGGCTTGTACATAAAATTACATGTTAAAATGTAACACAAATGGAACCAACAGAAAAGTAGAAATCAACTGAATTTTGAGGGATGAAGTTTAATCCTGGACTTCAGTTTTATTTCACTTTTAAGCCAAGCACAAAATAAACAGCAAGAAATGTTGAGAACCAACCATGTCTACTATTTCTGGCTATAAGTCACAGAAAAACTGTCCTCAAGCCAATCTGAGGAATATTTGCATTTGAGTCAATTCCTAGCTTTTGACAAGTTTTACATAAAATGTTTGTTATGATGTAGACCACACACTGAAAACATTGTGTCTACATAATTTTTCTGATACATAAAATATTTCTCTGTGTATCCTTCAATTGACTTAAGAGTTATTTTTCAATACTTAACAGTTAATTAAGATTTTATTACCTAAAAATTAAATGGCTAGATGTGCAGAAAACAAACTTTAGAGACACTGTAAAGGAGTGTTGTTATAAACTCACATCTTTCAGTGTGTGCAGAGTTCTCCCTGAATGGTGCTACTCAGTTTATTAAAAGCTGCTGTATTTGGGAAAAGAATGTTAGCATCAACTAGGAAAAGAGGTTAATTAATATCAAAGTTAAGAAACTGAAGATAATATTACAGAATCAAATTTAAATATGATTAAAATTTTTACTTATTATAGATGACTACTTATCAGAATGCCCTCCCCATCCAAAAACCAAAAGCCATTCATGCAAACCCACACAGATATGTCAGTTTTGTCACTTATAATTCTATCTAGAATAAAGATTCCTTCCAAAATTAAAACTTCTGATTGGTGTATACCAATTATTATATTTTAAAACCTCAATAAGAGTCAGTCATGGTGGAAAATACCTATAATCCCAACCTCTGGGAGGTGAAAGTAGGAGACTCAGGGCCAGCTTGGGCTACAATAGACACTTTCTCAAAACAACAAAAGTTATCCATAATCTAAGTCTTTGATCCAGACACATGGTATCTTATTCTAATAGTTTTAAGGCATACAAAACCATAACCTAAAATAACATGATCATAAGTAAGTCAGTTTCCTTCCATCGATCCATCCATCCATCCAGTCAACAGCATCCTAGGCAAAGAGGCTGAGCTCAAACAACAGAAAGTCTCATCTCAGGGAGCTTTTCTGCAGGCTTTTAAGGCTATTTGAGAAAATACAACCATGTAAATGTGCAGGGTTTTGTTTCCAACTAAGATATGTAACTACCATTTATAGCTTTAACACACATGTATCGACTTATCTGCAGAAGAAGCTTTACCAGGAAAGATGATGTTTACTGAAAATCACAATAGCTATTTCCCAATTTTCTCAACAGAACTGAATACCCACTCCAGGGATTATTTCCCCTTTATTCCAAATTTATCACAAGGAAAAAACAGTACATAATAAAAATAGTTTAATCATTGATTTAAAAAGATTAATTATAATTCTGTCATACATTTACACTTGACTACTACTCCTATATAGTATTAATCACCTTTTCTAAATAAACAAGGCATGTGACTAAAGCTGATTCCAAGATACCAAAAATGCTTAAAGGCTCAAATCTGGACTCCAGTAAAAACTAGCTAGCAATATACTCACTTAGCTTTCAAATTTTTCCCTGTAGATCCCCAAAGCAGGAGCTATGCTTACTAAGAAAAATGGGTTCCTACCCTTCCCAGTAGTGCATAAAAGTACAAGGATACCATTATGTCACTGCCAAAATTACAAGGGCAAGTAAAAGCCCAAGGAGGAAAAAAAAAAAAAAAAGAATAAAAACAAAAGTCAACAAAAGGGAAAGCTAAGTTAGGAGGAAGACTCAATGAAAAAAACATATTGAGTCTCAAGCTTTTTTATTTCCTTCTTTGCCTGTAATTAGTCACTATAAATTTTGTTTATTAAAAACAACATTTTACTTGTAACAAAAACTCTGCTCCACAGTAGCCTGCATTATGTTTACCCATTACAAAACAATGCCCAGCATACCATTTGAATTGTGTTTTCCTGTGAAGCTTTAATGTGGTAATTCAAGAGTGAAGGCAATGCACAGCACAGCACAGTGCTAGTAAGCCCCCCAGTCAGCATTCCTCGTCTTCACCGTTTCTTTCTCTCTGTTCCTAGCTAGGACGCTGCCAACAATCCTGCTTACTGCGGCAGTAGGAATGAGAAATTTATTCCTTCATGAAATAATTCCTGCATGCTTACTAAGTGTCAACTCCTATTCTTTTTACATTATAGTATCATGCTCTCAAACTAGTTTGATAATGATATAAACACATTTTTCATTATGGGGACAGCCACATGAAGAGTTTCTATTAAATTCTAGCAGGACAGATCATGCAATCAAGTATTTTGCTCATTCATTTTCAAGCAATTGAGGCAAAAATCACTATCATTTTAGCAACCAGTTTTCTTTCTGAACACCAAAAAGCTGATTTGGACTTTTAAATGTGTGTGTTTCTTGTCAGCCTCATTTTACAAACAGAGAAACAACTGAACTGAATTTAAAGAGAAACCTAAGGGTAAAGTTGAAGCAGTCAACACACAAAGGTTCATATTATAACTAACCACTCTCTAGCCTCACACTTCAATTAGCTGAATAAACTATGTGGAGCTTCCCTAAGCATCCTAGAGATTTTTGCAAAGGCAATAAAGGCCTAACACACCCAGAAACTTAATGCTAAGTGTATTTTATCATATATCTATGTATGCAAAGTTTTCTTTTTATAGATATAGCAAATACAACTTTTAAAATAGCAATGGGGGAAAATTCACACAGCAGCCTCACACAGATTTTTAAAATGGTGATTTCACCGATGATGTTAATGTCTCTAAGCAACTGAGGCCACAAGCCAAAAAAAAAGGTGGGATGATATTGCAAAATCAGAGAAATACATGGGTAAATATATGTGTAAGTTCTCTCTCTATTTCCACCCTTATTCCGAGCCCCAGGCCCTATGGTATTTTTTCCTTTTTAAAAAGTTAATATAGATTTATTGACTCTCCCTAGGAATAACAAACGATTCCTAAAACTGCATATGAAGTAAAAAAGCAGAAGCTATAGAAGGACACAGGCCTTCTTCTTTTAGCATGGAAGGAATCATGTTGGGCATTTGAAGTCAGGGTACTACTTGCTCTGACAGCATTAGGAAGTCTGCTAGCTACTGGATGATGGTCGATAATATATTCTATGCAAAATACACAGCACAATTAGTTTATCTTGAGAAAACAGAATACAAACCAATGATCTCTTAAAATAGAAATTAAAGATTAAGTCATTTACAATGCAAAAAAAAAAAAACCAAACAAACAATGGCCTTGTATCAAGTTTGAAAGATACTGTTAAGAAATTGAGGCAAAAGATAAGCAAAAATCTCATTTTAGTACAGTCACTGACTTTACAGCTGCTTAATGTGAAACCAAAACAAGAACAGTATCATCTTGCAAGTTACTGGGAGACCAAAGCAAATAATATACTTTGCAGTTTAAGGGTTCTGTTTGCAGTTAGGACAGTTAAGAATAAGTTTTTGTTTATCCTATGCTTGTTTGAGCCATCTGAACCAGATGTGCTTGATCACATGTGGGTACATGGGCAGGAAGTACATCAGGATGTATGCTTGCCTCTGATTGGACCTGATAGGAAATACAGTGGTCTTATGGGTATGCCTTTATAAGTTGTGGCAAAATGTAACTTGTGACCATTCCTGGGAACCCTGAAATAAATCTGGCCAGAGTCCATCAATCTGACCATCATTCAATTAAAACTTGCTTCAAGTTTGGGTAAAGGGCGGTGGTGGCACATGCCTTTAATTCCAGCACTCTGAAGGCAGAGGCAAGCGGATCTCTGTGAGTTCAAGGCCAGCCTGGTCTACAGAGCGAGTCCCAGGACAGCTAGGGCTGTTACACAGAGAAACCCTGTCTTGAAAAAACAAACAAACAAAGTTTGGCTCAAAACTGTGGTTGTGGTCTTGACACTTTCAACACAAGGAAAACTAATTTATTTTCCTTAAAGTTCTTTAAATGTCTTTGAAGAAAATGTGAGGTTTCTTTCAAAGTCAACCTAACAATAGTTCTTTAAATTTTTTATTTTTTATTTGTTTTATCTTATGTGTATGAGTTATATGTTTATGTACAACATGCATGTCTGGTGCCTAAGGAAGTCAAAAGAGCACTAGACCCCCTGCAACTGGAGTTACAGACAGTTGTAAGCCGTCATGTGGTTGCTGGGAATCAAACCTGGGTCCTCTGTAAGAACAGCCAGTGCTCTTAACTACTGACCCATCTATCCCCACATGGTATTATATATCCACATCACATATCCAGCTGACTGTGCACAGAGTACTCTTAATTTGCTTTGGATTGAGAGTAGCAATCTGGAACCTTCAGCATACCTGGTACAAGCAATGGCAGACACTTCGAAGCTGGGAGGGGAATTCTGAGGAGGAACTGATGATGGCATGGAAGAACTTCTCTGTCATTTGAAGGAGGTTCCTCTGGTTTTCCTCAAGGCTCTCAGTAGATTCTAACCTGTAACAAAGGAAAGTAAAACCAAAACATCACTAGAGAAACAAAATTACTCTTCACAAGACTTTTGATCCTGATTAAAACAACAAATTTGTATTGAAAAGAAAAAAGAGGGGGGAAAAACAGAAAAAAGAAACAAGAAGCAATTATAATACAAGGTGTGTCGGCTCACACTAACTTCAATATTTACAAGGCTGAAATGAGAGACTACCATGAGTTTGGGGCCAGTATAGGACAGCAAGGCTACAAATTGAGACTGTCTCAAATACAAACTAACAAACCCGAAATGGAAATTCTAATACTCAGAAGGTGCAGGCAAGCAGGACCAAAAGTTGAAAGTCATTCTTTGTTTTGTAGCAAGTTGAGTCAAGCATGGGCTACAGGAAACCCAGTCAAAAATAAGCAAAACAATAATAACCATAAGAAAACAATTTTGAGGTGCTAGCCAGGCGTTAGTGGCGCACGCCTTTAATCCCAGCACTCTGTGAGTTCGAGGCCAGGCTGGTCTACAGAGTGAGTTCCAGGACAACCTCCAAAGCAATACAGAGAAACCCTGTCTCGAAAAACCAAATGGAAGAAAGGAAGGAGGGAGGGAGGGAGGGAGGGTGGGAGGGAGGGAGGGAGGGAGGGGGAGGGAGGGAGGGGAGGAAGGAAGGGAGGGGAGGAAGGAAGGGGGAGAGGGAGGGAGGGGGGGAGGGAGGAAGGACTAGTGCTTTGTGCGTGTGTGTGTGTGTGTGTGATTTGTGTGTGTGTGCGCCCGTGTGCAAATGCCATGTGTAGTTCAGAGGACAACTTACAGGAGTCATGCGTGTCTCCCTACCATGTGGGACCTTTGGATTTAACTCATGGTGCTCTCTTCAGCCTTGTGAATACTGAAGTTAGTGTGAGCCACCACACCTGATATTATAATTGTTTCTTTTTCTTTTTTTTTTTTTGTCTTTTTTTTTTCATCAAGACTAGCAGTAGACACCTTTACCTGCTGAACTATCACCATAGTTCTATGTTTGTGATTATGTTCACTTTTGTTGTTTTATTTTGGAGACAGGATCTTACTGTGTAGCCCTAGCTGACCTAGAACTTCATATGCAGACCAGTGTAGTTTTGAACTCATAGAATACACCTGCCTCTGCCTTCTGGGCAATACATACCTATAAACAGTGACTTTTTTTTAATATTCACTAATAATGATAAAATGTAACTTTCATCTTTCCATTTATATTAGGTTTGTGAGATCATCTATATGTACGAACATTCATTTTGAGCATAAAAATATACTGTATTGTATAAGTAATTTATCTGCTTTTCTAGTGAATATTTTTAAAATCTTGACTTTTGCTGGGTATGGTGGCTCATGCCTATAATGCCAGCACTTGGAAAGTGGAGGCAAAAGGAGTACAAGGCCAGCTTCAACTACATAGGAGGCTGAGGCTAGCCTGGGCTACATGAAGACTGTCTAAAACTTTTTTCTGTTCACTTTTACAGATACTACTTTAGTAAACATTATTGTGCATACACAAGGGTTCCACTAGGGCAATTAACAAACATTGGCATCTCTTGGTAGCTAAACATATGTAAATTCAACTTTCAGTAACATCTCCACAACAGTGCTTAACAATTTTTTTTCCTGGATTTTTCGAGACAGGGTTTCTCTGTGTCTTTGGAGCCTGTCCCGGAACTCGATCTGTAGACCAGGCTGGTCTCGAACTCACAGAGATCCACCTACATCTGCCCCTCCCAAGTGCTGAGATTCAAAGTGTACGCCACCACCGAAGTGCTTAAGAATCTCTATAAACTTTACCAGCTAAACAATCACAAATCTATGTGTTATAAAGTCTGAAATGTTTTGAGTGCCAATCATATGTTCAAAAAGTTGTACCTTTTGCAGACTTTTTAACTTTGGGGTGCTCACCTGATGACTCAGTAAGCAGGAACCAGAACTGCAGTTTTTAAGGTTATTAGAGACCCACATTGGTTAAAACGCAGACTAAGATTAAGTAAGTGAATGTGGACTGCTTAGCCCCAAATGGGACATCTATAACACAACCCTACACCTAAGGCTCAGGGAACATCAAGGAAAGACTGTAAAAACCCTGAGGACATGGTCAACTACTATAGGATAGTATCTTTTTGACAGGACAGGGAAGTTGCTCCCCTCAACTCCCAGGCTGCCTGCACAAGACCTGCAAAGACCACACCAGCAGACATTCCTATGTGAATAGAGGAACATTTTAACGAGGGCCCCACCCAAGAGCTACAATCAAAAGCTGCTGAAGTGGGAAGAACCAGATTTTCTTCCCCCTGATAACTGTTATTTTAAAAATGAGACCCAATCCTAAGTGGTCAGCCCTAAACACATGTAAATAAGCGTGACTTAACTGAATTCAGTAGCTTGTGTGTATATAAACACGTGTGCACGCACGCACGCGCACACACACACACACACACACACACACACACACACACACACACACACACACACACAGAGCAAAAATAATTCTAGAAGGTATCCTGAATGCAAGAGGAAGTAGTTGGGGGAACACAGGAAGAGCTGGAGGGGGAAGTGGGAATGATGAAATACAGCTAAATCATTTATGAAATCTTCAAATAAGAATAAAGTGGACAACTATTCTTTCTAAAACTCACTACTAAAGGACTAGATTTCATGGTACCAGAAGGTACCGTGCAAGCTTCTAAAGGAAAGAAGCAACCAATAGGTACCACCCATTTTCACATGGATTCTAAGGCACAAATTCAAGTTATCATACCTGCATTAGAAACCCTTACTGCCTGAGTTATCTCTTACTCTTCCTTCCCCTCTAATTTCTTAAAGTGGGAGTTTATGATATCAATTTTAGATCTTTTTCCTCTTCTGATGCGTACTTAATGCTGTAAGTTTCTGAGTTCCTCTTTCACCGTCTCTATCACTTTGGGAAGGTGTGTTTTCATTTCATCTCAGTTTGGAGCGTCTTCAGCTCATGGGCCCTCTCCTCTATTGCGTCTACTTATTAGTCCATTATAGTCATTCTTCTTCTGCTACACTGTTTTTCTAGCATTGTTTTTGTATTCCTTGTTAGCTTTCCTGCTCTCTGCTTATACTAGTCACTGGTTCTTTTATGTTGTTCACATTTCCCCCCAGTGGGGCTCTCAGCATAATAAGCATAGTTATTTTAAATAGTCAATGTAAAAATTCCAAAATTCCCATCACATCCAAGTCTGGTTCCGATGCCTGCTTTGTCTCTCCAGAAAAAATCTGTCCTCTCTTGGTATGCCTTGTAGTTTTTCTGTTGAGAGTTTGCGGTAACTGAGAAACAAAACTGAGGTGAATATGCCTTCAGTATAAGGCCTGGGAGTTAGTTACCTTGAATGTTTGCTGGAACTATGGCTATCCATTCTTCTAGTGTCCTTGTTTTCAGGTTTCCCTGGAAATTTCTAAACTAGATTCTGTGTGTGGCTATAATTCACTGTTGATATACTAGAGTCCAGTGGATGTAATATAGGTAATGTGGAAGCCATTGCTATATGAACTGATTATGCCTCTGCTGTATGCTGGGCCAAAGTTCCTGGAATGCAACCTTTAAAAGGATCTAGCTTTGTCCAAATCTTTCTCCATATGTGAGACAGAAAGGCTGTGAGTGGAGTGTAGGGTTAAAAATACTAAGTGCCCATCCTCCAGGTCAGATAAGACTGGGAAAGAGTGGTGTTTCCCTTGAGGTACACTTTGGTTGGGGAGAACAAAATCCAATGAGCATATTTTCAAATGACTCTTTTTCTGGCCCAAAGCACAAAAGGATTTTTCTCTCACCTTCTTGAAAACTCACCAAGGCTTTTGAAGGCAAAACTCACAAAAGTATGGCAGCCTGATGGGAGATGTCATTCTGTAAATCTGTCTCTCTTATTGGTTGTTGAATAAAGCACTGTTGGCTAATAGGGAAGCAAGATAGGTGGGACTAGGAGTCAAGGAGGATTCTGGTAAAGAGAGGCAGAGACAGACACCATGTAGGCCACCAGAGGAGTAAGAGGTTCGGACCCTTTTCTCTGGTAAGAGAAATACTTATATTAACAATTATGGGTTAAATACTTAAGTCAGAGCTAGTCAGTAAGAAACCAAACAAATGGCCAATAGCTTTATAATTAATAAATTATAGTGCCCTGTGTGTTATTTGGGGGTTTAGACAGTGCGGCAGGGCCCAGGCGACTTGTGGGGAAAATTACACTCTACAGTAGCCCCTTCATATTGGATCCCAGAAGTTCTAATTCTTAAGACAGTCCATACTCCACCTCTAGCAACTCATCAAATACAGTTTAAGTATCCCTACTAGTTACTGGCTCCAGCAGTTCTTGCTATGGTAAGCTCTGACACCCTGTATTTACCTGTTTCTAGTTAGTTTTGGAATGGTGGTTTGCCTTGTGACCTCAATCCTCTGTTAGATCTAAAACAAGTCACTGCTTATAACACATGGGCAGGCCAGAGTACCTCTCCGCCATATATACTAAGGGCAAACATGTGACCACCACCATTCTGTCTGAGGTTAAAAGAGATATTTCACCACCATCTTAGCTAAGGGCAAGACAGAAAAGTCAGATGAGCTAGTTGTCATCTTTACTAAGGGTGCTCTTTGCCTTGTCTTGCCTTTTACTTATGTCTTTGTCTGTGGTTCCTCTTACCCTAATTCTGTTGTGTGTGGCATGTTTGCCCAGTGGCATACTTTTTGACAGAGTCGGAAAAAAAACAAAAAAAAAAAAACACTTCAGGCAGGGACCCCACTCACCTGCTCGATCATCAACAAATCAGCTTTTCTTTGCTCCAAAGAACTGAGCACGTCCGTCTACAATTTCTTTAAATGCCCTGCTTGCTTGTTACTCAACTCCTGTTTAATATATGGTTACATCTATTACAACATTCTGTATATGTGATTTAACTCTAGTCTAAAGTATATTCTATGTAATTATAAAAGTTAAGGTTATAAAGATCTATTTCACAGTTGGATCTTGGGAGCAGGCAGGCAATCTATCACATAACGAGTTCCCACCCCTCTCTTAGCTCCCTCCATGCTCTTAGCTGGGTGTCCCATGGGGTCCCAAGGTATTTACTTTGAAAAAATTAACAGTGCTCAAAGCAAGCTTAAGCCACCTGGATACCATAGCTAGGAAGAATGGAATAGGACAGAGATCCTATTTTGTTGGTTTTCAGACTGAGGACATGATTAAGAGGTACAGCCAGGAGCATTCATATTGTGCCACTAGAGATGAAATTCTTGGACTGGCACAAGATGGAGCAGAGCAAAAGCATTTGCCAGTTTAAAAGTAGCCAGTCACATGGCTCCAGTGCTGTCCAAGCAGCAGCCAAGGCTTCAGCTGCCTTCTCAGTACCAGACTCAGAAAGGGGATAAACTCATAAAACATAATTCAGGAAGGAACAGATGCTTTAAGGTTTATCTAAGTAAAGATAGGAAAGCTTAAGATGTGAGGATCAAAGAATGTTTTAGGGTTTAAGAAGGTGTTTTAAGGTATAAAGTTTATGTAAAGACATGAAAGTTTAAGATGTGAGGATTTAAGAATGTTTCAGGGTCTAAGAAGGTGAACTAAGGTGTGTGAATACAAGTTATGAAGGTCTGAGGATGGAAAGGCTTAAGTGTTGACAAAGAAAAAGTGATGAGATGTTTAAAAGAATGAAATATGTTGTAGATTTCTCTCTCTCTCTCTCTCTCCCTCCCTCCCTCTCTCTCTCACATTATGCTACGTTATATTAATACTCCAAAAAAGTTCATAGTCTTAACATTAATTAATAAAGTTCTGATAAGCTATTAATCCAACACTGACAATAGTACTAAACACCATACTATACCACTATATGATCATAACTGCAAGCTCAAGATTTTAAACTCCTTTTGGTCATTTTTCTAATTATAGACTTCCAAGGTACTTTTCATTGTGCTAAAAACATCTGTCAGAGTTTTCCAGATGGAAGGAAGAATATTAATAGTTTCAGTCAAAATCATTTCTGACATTAGTATACTGCCATTTCTACAATGTAAATTTCAGTACTGATTACAAACAGTGGAAATAATAATGTGTCTAAAATTTGTCTTTTCACAAACTCACCGAATTCTTATAAGTTCCAAGGAGTAGACTTGAAGGATTCGCCACCAACAGGTCAGATGCGTTCCTCCCTCAATTACCAGGCCCTAAGCAGCTCAAGCCTCCCCACTTTTCCCAGGTCCTGACACCCACCCCCTTAATTACCAAGACCTAAGAAAAAAACTTTTTCCTAAACTTAATCTTGTCCTATGCTCTGCCAACATCTTGCCAGGTCCAAGAGGCACCAAAGAGTTCCTCAGAGCCTGGACATCAATGAAATAGCCACCTACCCCAGTATGTGGCAGTACCCCAACTTACTCAGGAACCCCAAAGATGGTTGACACCCCCAAGTCAACAGGAAGCAGTTTTGTGAACCCAATGCCCTCATTCCCTAACCTGCCACACCTAATTCCTCACCTTTTTAATTAAAAAAAAAAAGAAAAAAGAAAAAAGAAAAGAAAAGGAAGGGAGAAATGCTGTAATTCAGGCAACCCTGGCCTGCCCCTTGGGGACCTGGCAAAGTGTGCCACCTCTGTGCATGGCAAGCAGTACTCTGGCTCTGTACATAGGTGCAAAGGTCCCTTTAAAAGGCAAACTCCACCCACTTCCTCTCTCTTTCTCTCTGAGGAGGCAGTTTTCCATCTCTGTCTCCTCCTTCCCCCTCCCTCCTTCCTTTTCTCTTCTTTCTCTCTCCCTTCCCTTCCCCCAATAAACTTTCCACATAAGTTTTGTCTGTAGGTCTCTGTCTGTTTCTCACCCGCTGTTTGTTGCACACCCACCATGGGATCCACCAAAGGTCCCACCTCCAGTTATATCATAACAGACAGGAACATAAAGGAGGCCTCATGTAGTACCTGGGAGCAGGGAGGGAGCAATTGTGACAAGATAACAAACCTGGTAGGATCCACTTCAAAGCTAACATGTTGCCAATCTGAGGATGTGATCACAATACGTAATAAAGGATCCAAGAGCTTTTGTAGGTAAGTAGCACCATAAACCTAAAGAAATGCACAGTTAGGCACAGATCCATACATACTGCATTAAAAAGGTAACCAACCTAATACATTCTGTAAATAATTTCTTCTCAACAAACCTAGTGTACAATATACATAAAATAAATGATACAAACCTTAAAGCAGAATGTCATTATCTTACTGGCCAAGCTGTTGCCTCGGAAAAGAGTCTGCATGGAGTCTGCCAATTCTACTTCCTTAGAAAACATGTTCCAAAGCAGCTGGTAGAGTAAGTGCCGAGAATCAAACAGAGTAACCAGAACACGAGCCAGCTCATCCTGGTAACAAACAAATTTGTGTTTGTGTGAACAATTTTACTTTTGTCTTAGGTAGATTTAAATTTTTAAAAAGGTTAGAAAAGAGGCAAATCTAAAGTTCACAATCACCCATTAAATCAAGGTAAATGATAACTAATTATTCCCAAGATTTGCGTTTGTCTATGATAGGTTACTTTTGAAACCTGTTTATAATAGCTGTTAACACCAAGGTGAAGGAAGAGAGACTGAGGCTTTACCAGAAGCAAAGACTTCAGGATTTGGTTCAAATTATATCATGAAAATAAGAATTCACTTTGATGTTTGGATGAGTTGAACAGACTGTTTTCTTAGAACTGATTAAATACATTATGGCCAAGGCAGAAAAGTGACAAAAATGTAAACATTAGAAGATTGTTTAAAAGTCAAAAGGGGGCAGGGCAGGGCAGGGGGAGGCCTCAGGTAGGTATTCAAATCCCAAAATTCTGTCAGATTTACACACAACTAGAGAGTTAGGATTGAGGTTAACCTTTCTATTATTAATGCTTTCTATAAGAAAGCAGGCTGAGCAAACCATGGGAAACAAGTCAGTAAGCAGCTCCCCTCCAGGGCCTCTGCAACAGCTCCTGCCTCCAGGATCCTTCCCTGTCTGAGTTCCTTTCCTGACTTCAGTGATGAACAGCAATGTAGAAATGTAAGCCAAGTAAATCCTTTCCTCCCCAACTTGCCTTTTGGTCATGGTGTTTTGTTGCAACCTAGAAACCCTAAGACAGTGTTTTATACAAATGATAAACTTGCATTTCACTATTAAGCCAGAGGAGACAGAGAGATAGTGGTAGCTATAATAAAAAGAACCTTCAACCTCCAAACAGTAATAAAGGCCATCATAGTTCAGAGCCCTTCTTCATTTTGGCCTGGTTCCAGGGTTAAAAGAAGGAGACATCGGAATAAGGGAAAGGTTGAATAATCCTAACCACAAATACCCCAGAAGCAGAAGAATTATGAAGACTAAGCATCTGCTTTATTCCCTACAGTTATACAATCTATCTTTGACATAATACAAAAACCCTGCCCTCCATTATGAAGTGAAGTAAAAAGGACAAGAATTTAGGGACTAATCCGAAGTTGTTTGGCTTAGGATACAGCTTGGTGGTAAAAGGCTTGCCTGGCATCACAAGGTATTGGTTTCAATTCCAGCACAATAGAAAGGAAAAATAGCAGCTGCTGCTGCTTTTAGGCCCCTATGTGAAATGTCTTTCTAGTCTCATCTCTTCTCCTAAAGCCTGAAAATTCTAAACAACTGAATTTTAAAACATTTATTTACACAATCAAATTATTTTTAATAATTTATTTTTGCTTACCTTTAAATATGGTTCTAACAAATGTGCTAAAACACACTTGTAATCACAGTACCCAGGAAGATTATATACACCTGAGACCAGGCTACTAAAAGTCCCAAGCAAAACAAAACAAAACAAAACCAATAAAACCATTGTTAGAAGGTACCCACACTTCCTCAGAAGAGCTTACTACTATGGATGGCCCTGAGTTGTTTTTTTTATATTATTATTTTTTTGTTTTGTTTTGTTTTTTTTGAGACAGGGCTGTGTTGTTTTGGAGCCTGTCCTGGAACTTGCTCTATAGACCAGGCTGGCCTCAAACTCAGAGATCTGCCTACCTCTGCCTCCTAAGTGCTGGGATTAAAGGCATGCACCACCAACAGCCAGCTCCTGAGTTGTTTTTTAAAAGAGTTCTAAGCCATATTGATATCTTGTCTTAGAAAGGAAGGAAGGAAGGAAGGAAGGAAGGAAGGAAGGAAGGAAGGAAGGAAGGAAGGAAGGAAGGAAGGAAGGAAGGAAGGAAGGAAGGAAGGAAGGAGAAAAGAAGTGGGAGTTGGGAGCCAAGGGTATATACATCAGGTTCTCAATCTGTGGGGCTTCACCCCTTTGGCTGAGTCAAACAACTTTTTCACATGGGTTGAATACCAAATATTTACAAGTTGATTCATAAAAGAAGCAAAATTACAGTTATGAAGGAGCAACAAAAAATAATGTTATGGTTGGGGTACTCACAACATGAGGAGCTGTGTTAAAGAACTGCAACATCAGGAAGGTTAAGAACCACTGGTGTATATGATCAAGAGATTGTTCATATGTATGAAATTGTCAAACAACACAAGTAATTTAAAGGGCTGGAGAGATGGATCAGCAGTTGAGAGCACTGGCTGCTCTTCCAGAAAACCCAGGTTCAATTCCCAGCACCCACATGCAACTTATAACCATTTTAACTCAAGTTTCAAGGAATCCAACAGTCTCTTCTAGTCTCTTTGGGCACTGTACACACATGGTGCACAAATATACATGTTGGTAAAACACCTACACATATAAAATAAAAATAAATAAAATCTCAAAAACCATTTCAAGTAACTGAGGCCAGGTATGGTGGTGCACGCCTTTAATCCCTGCAATGAGGAAGCAGAAGATCTTTGTGTATTTGAGGCTATATCCTGGTTCTACACAGTGAAATCCAGGCCAACCAGGGCCACACAGAAAAATCCTATCTCCAAAAAGTAAGTAAATAAAAAGTATTTTAAGTCATTTAATATAAAGCTCAGAAATATTTACAGTAAGAAAATAAAATGAGGGGGCTGGAGAGATGGCTCAGTGGTTAAGAGCACAAGCTGCTCTTCCAGAGGTAGTGAGTTCAATTCCCATCTCACAGCCATCTCTAGTGGAATCTGATACCCTTTTCTAGCATAAAGTTGTGCATGCAGATAGAGCACTCATATACGTAAGTCTTAAAAAAAAGTTTTTAAAAGGAAAATAAAATGAATTTAAGCTTCTTTGACTCAAATCAACTTTTTGTTTTCTTGTGCTAGGGATCAAGAATAGGGTCTCTGACATGCTAGACAAGAACTCTACCCCTAGGCTACATCACCAGAGCTGGATTCTTTGTTAAGAAGACTACTAAATTTTTTAAATTACTGGTAAACACTAAAAAAAAAAAAACAATCAGAAGATTTATGAAGCAATTGAAGATTTGTGAAAAACTTTTAGGCTTGAAAATGTTAATTTAGGAGTGTTACTAACCAAAGGGTATAAAATTGCATTTATAAATAAACTACACGTGAAGCTACATGCCTGTAATCCCAGCATTTGGCAGACAGAAGCAGACAAGTGAGTTTCAGAGCCACAAAGTGAGGACCTCTTCCATCTTTGAAAAAAAAAAATCTGATAAGAAGATAGAGCTCATGTTAAGACCAACCCAAATCAAAACAAAACAATCAGAAGCGCATCTTAGAAAGCAGTAGCAGCAGCAGCAGCAGCAACAACAAGTGAGCCTTAGGGTGGAAACAGAGTTAGCACACCTGAGGACCATAAAGTGGAGAGACTAGAGAAGGACAGCATTAGATAGAGGCAGAGACAAGGCAGGCCCAGATTAGGTGTAGGATCATAAGCCAGAGAAAAGAATGTGAGTTTCATTTCAGATATAAGAAACATAATCTTACAGCTTGTTTTTAACATTTAGGTGCTTTTAAATGTATATTTTCAATTTATGTATACATGGGCACACCTGTGCTAGGGTGTCCATGCAGTCGGGAAAGGTCATCAGATCTCTTGGAGTTAGTAAGTCTGTGTTTATTAGTTGTCTGATGGAGTACTGGGATCTGAACTCTGGTCCTTTTACGCAGCAGCAAGCATTCTTTACGACCAAAACCTCTCTCCAGACCCTCCTATCGGCAGGTTTTCTTGTTTTTTTTTCTGAATTTTAGGTGAGCTGTTGTTTTACCTAAGGAGGCCAGAAGAGGGGACCCAATCTCCTGGGACTGGAGTTGTAAGTCTGGAGTGACAATGTAAGAACTGGAAACCAAATGGCCTTAACTGCTGAGTCCTCTTACCAGGTCCTTACTCTCCCATCACAGCTTTTAAGCAAAAACTAAGAATACCTTAGTATTTAGAAGTTACTCTTATTAAAGCCTTTTTTTTTTTTTTGGTAAAATAAACCACATGGCTTTAAAAAGAGAGAGGGGCCTCACTATGTATCTCCAGCTGGCCTGAAACTTGCCAAGTAAACCAGAGATCTACCTGCTTTTGCCTCCCCAATGCTGAGATAAGAAACAATACAGGGATACACAATGACTTTTAAAAATGGAAAGGAACCAACTTTCTCAAAGTTTTAGCATGTATTATCAAGAATATTGTAGTTTTATGGGCAGAGGGTGCAGCTCAGTAATAAGGCACTTGCCTAACATGTATGAGGCCCTGGAATCAATCCACAGAAAACAAAATAAATTTAGAAGGCCAAATAACCATTTGTCTATGTATTTTATTGGTCCATCTTGTTTTGAGATGATCTTATACAGCCCAAGCTGGCCTGAAACTTTTTATCTAACCAAGGATGACCTTTGATTCTTTACTCCTTATATTCCACTTCCCAAGTGCAAGGATTACAAGTGTGTGCCACCACATCCAGTGCAACTTCAAATGCAAACGAACATGTAATACTCCAAGGTAGACGTAGTAAACAAGCATAAATCACGGATTACAAAGTTAGTATTACTAACAGCTAAAGTTAGGTTACTAATTAATATACAAAGACATGAGATCACACCAGTGGTTTTACATTTTCTTTATATTAATAATCAAATGAACTTTTTCATTGGGATGGAAAGAAAGAAAATACTAGTCATGGGCCAGGTGTACCAATCACTTCCCTATAGATGAAAACAAAATATGCGAAAAAAACAAAGTTTGGAGCTGGAGAGATGGCTCAGAGGTTAAGAGCACTGACTGCTCTTCGAGGGGTCCTGAGTTCAATTCCCAACAACCACATGGTGGCTCACAACCATCTATAATTCAATCTGGTGCTCTCTTCTGGCATGTAGGCAGAACACTGTGTATGTAATAAATAAATAAATCTTTAAAAAATAATTTTTAAGAAAAGAAAGAAAAAAGAAAGTTTAATGGCTCAAGTTGGCCCACTTTTCTTTTTTGAGACAGTCTTGTAATGCTCAAGCTGGCCTCAAACTCACTATCTAACCAAGGAGGACCTTGAACTTCTGATCTTGCTCCTAGCCTCCAAGTGCTGAAATTATAGGCATTCACAACCATGACTGATTTTCTGTGGTGCTAGAGAAAGCATTCTACTAACTAATCTGCATTCTCAGCTATAAATTGCATACTTTTTTTTTCTAGTTCTTACATCTTATCAATTCACCTAATAAACATTTATGAACAAACCTATTTTGAAACTTGGGCTATACTCCAGGCATTCCACTTCCCTACTTTCTCAACAAACTTACCCACTGAGAACAAGGGACCACATTGGCCAGAGCCATAGCTATAGGGAGCTCTCCTTGGTCTCCCATCATTGTGACCAGTTCCACGAGTCTCTCAAACCGATCAGCCAACACCGTTTCAGCAAGTGTGTCAAATTCTGTTCCTTGTTGAAGGATTTTTGTCAGAACTTCCATAAACGTAGCTCTTGTCTGGAGATCCTTGTGATAACCTAAGCCTGACATAGACAAACAGATGCAAATTTACTACCAGAGCCTGACTGAAGCAATTTTTGTTTTGCAAGCAATGTCAACTCTGGGTTTAATTTATTATTTTATGTATTTGTTTTGCATGCATATATGACGGGGCACTACATATAAGCCTGGTTATCACAGAGGCCAGGAGGCACAGTCATATTCCCTGGGACTGGAGTTACAGGTGATTGTGAGCCACCACGTCGGTACTGGGAATTAACCCAAGGTCCTCTGAAAGAACAGTCAGTGCTCTTAACGACTGGGTCAACTCTCCAGCCCAGCCCTCTAGGGTTTTGAATGTTTTTATTTTTGTTTGTTTAGAGACAGGGTCACGGCGAAGGTTTTGGCTGGCCTGGAACTCACTGTGTAGACCAGGTAGGCCTTGAACTCATAGAAATCCTCCTGTTTCTTGCTCCTGGTTGACGAGATTAAAGGCGCACACCACCATGCTGGGACAGTTTTATGTGTAGTTTTCATTTGATCTCACCTATGGAGTGCATGAGTCCACTGTCCACATTAGCATTGAGTAAGTTTGACATTGCAAGCACTGTACAGTGCCTCAAGGATGCCAGCCTCCGAGACATGCCACGTTTTCTGCCACCTGTTTGTGCATTTTCATCTTCAACTTCACTACAGTCATTCAAAAGGTTCATAAATAGTGTGAAGTACCTGGAAATACAAAGACTGACCTTTACACAGAGAAGGCCCCAACAACCAGAAAGCTAAACATACAATCTGAGTGATCATATGTGACACTATGTGTACAGATGAATTTATGCTTTTCTACTCTTGGGTTAAGAAGTTAATGTAGTTCATTATTAAGTTGTTGTGAGAATATTTTCTCTTGACAAAATACAGTATTCATTTCAAGACATAGCCATGGAAGATGTGCAAGGTTTCCTGGCAAATGTGTAATTTTTAATATTTAGCATATAAAATTCATGATCCAGACAGTTTAGACATTGTCGCGCCCCCCTTCCCTCGCCCCTTTTTGATGCAGGGTTTTTCTGTAGCCCTGGCTATTCTGGAACTCACTCTGTAGACCAGGCTGGCCTCAAACTCAGAGATCTGCCAGCCCCTGTCTCCCAGGCACTGGGATTAAAGGCGTGTGCCACCATACCTGGCTTATACATTGTCGTTTTAAATGACTTACTGAAGCAAACTAGATTTGTTACAAGGAAAAATTTAATGATCTCATATTTTCTTTAAAAAACAGAACACGAATTATTTGCTTATCTTGATCCCATCATTTCACAAGTAGAGATGGTATGTTTTATGAGAACAGCCAATGGCCACAATACAAAAGCAACTAGGTCTTCTTTTAAATGCAACAATTAGCTACTTAATTACAGTTCTTTGCTTGGGAGGGAGAAAGCTATATTTGCTTTTTGCTTTGGTTTTCAGTTGTTGAAATTTACTTAAGAAATAACTGTGATTTGGCCTCCATTAGTTCCACCCCATCTCCTTCTTCAGGCTGTAGTGGAAGACCAGCGAGGAGTGAAACTACTGCTTCCATGCTTGCTTGGTCCAAATCTCTAAAGAAAAGCAATTTAGAAACTATGAGGCTTTCAGACACAAACTTTAGGAGCTCTCTGTTTCATTAATTAAACTATAAGCACAACCTAGGTAATATCAGTAAATATGACAAGTCTAGAATGCACACAAAGACTTCACACTTTCAGCCAAGTAACCTTTAACATAGTATCTATGTTAAATCAAAAGTACGGGGCTGAGGATATAGTCCAATTTAGCATTTACATATCTTGGATTCAAGCTCCAACATCACAGGATAAAAATGAAAAAAATTCAATTAATCAACCAACACCCCCCCCCAAAAAAGTATATACTGTCAAGTTATACCTGGCCAGAGAAAAAGATGAAGTTGTCATACTGTTCAGAGTTATTTCTGACAGGCACCAATCATGTGTCATTAAAGCAAACTTAAGTAATTATGCCTTAGACTCAGCATAATTATGTTCCTCAATCAATACCTTTATTTAATCATGAGGTAATACAATCTAACACTTTATGCATCTTCTTTCTCAGTAACTGTTAACCATTCTTCCTAAGCCAACACCACTTCCCTCGCACTCTCTCACATTTGTTTCAACTAAATCTTTCCATTAAAATAAAAAGGATTTTATATATTTCAAATGCAAAAGCTCACCCCCTAAAAAACAAGTTAAATACAGTGTGTTATAAATGATTAACAGCTCTACCTGTAGTGGTTTTCATGAATAAGGTAAAACATGATAGAACTTAAAGGTCTCCCCCGCCCCCGCCCCCCTCCCTCTCTCACCTTGTAAGACACTTTACATCATCATCTGCTGCTTGGTTTGATGTTCCCATAACCCAGTCTGTTAGGTATTCTACCATTTTATTCCTGCAGAATGATGAAAAGGAAAAGAACAAACAAATTTTTAGCTTTCTCTTTTTCTTTCTCTCTCTCACACTGTTTGATTAGTCAGACAAGAGTTTAACTGTATAGTTGTATAGCCCAGATTGGCCTTGAACTTCTGACTGTTGAGACTGTAGGTGTATGCCAACACACCAAAAGACTTATAATATAGCAACTAGTCAGTGAATTCAATATGACCTTATAAAAGAGATACTGCTATCATGTGTAATGAAATAAAAGTTAGAAGAGCACAAAGAGATACAACTTAGATGCTGGTCCTTTTTGCACTGGCCCTTTCCTGTATTGCCAATGTGAAAACAGAATCAAGCTTTAAGTGCCCATGAGTTAGCTTAAGAAAAGGGGAGATTAAAAAAAAAAAAGGAGAGAGACAGACAGACAGACTGACTCATTCACTCACTCACTCACTCACTCACTCACTCACATGGGCATAAAGCTTTGAGAAACTTGGAAAGATATTCAGAAAAAAACCAAATATGCACAACACTTCTTCACCCGCCTCCCTTTCCCCACATAATCAAGCACTAACACCTTTCTACAGGCCACTTCACATAATATTTATAAGACCCTATTTTGCTCTTCTGAGAACTCACCTAAATTTCATCTCCTGACAAAATGAGAGATCATCTCTTCTTGCCATCATTACTTCAACTAACTGGCACAGTTTTGTTTTTATTTGAATTGCATGGACCACATTCCCAAGTACACGAACGTATCTAATTAAGCACAGAAGAAAAAAATGATCAGATATGGACAAAAAAGAAGGTATTCTAAATGCATTAATCTTTAATTAAATGTAACTTTAAACATGATTAATATTTAGATATTGTTTAGGTAGGAACATACATAACTTCTGATTGTCTTAATGTCATAGACTACACTGGATCTGCAATAAAGAATGGCAAATTATTTCATCATTCCCATTACCAGTGCATAAGCGGTCTTACCAAAATATGTCTCTGCTATGTTTCAATAGCAAAATGCTTACCTAACCAGATTTAACATCATTGTTTCAATGCTAGCTTGTCCCAGATGCTCAGAGCTGCCTTCAGTATGATTATCCAGCAGGTTCTTCATTATGGCTATAGTTTGCTCTACAAACTGAGTATTGCTATCAGTCAATAATACCTACACAAAAAACAAAATACATTAGTGATATCACACCAATGCCCAGAAAACAGATCATAGGACAATGAAACTGACATAGCTATCACATTCAAGCATACCACAGACAAATGCACAAACACAGTGATACACACAGGTACCAATTTCTATATCCAAGATTCATAACCCCAATCACACCCACAGGCCTGGGTTCTTGAGAAGCAGACCAATCCCTAGATTACATGATTCTTTTTTCTCTGTAATTATGACAATTTTTAAAAATTATAAGTAGATTATCATGTTGGTACCCAATTAAACAATCTGAAAGAAACAATCTTCATTTATTTCAAATATATTATTGTACTCCTAGGGAAAGGTAAAAAACAAAGTGGAGAAGACTTCACCTGTCCTTGAGAGTCAAAAAACTTGCTGATGGTATTCTTCAGTTTGTTAAACAACATTGGATACAGAGCAGGACTCAACTCCAGGCCCACCAGGTCCTTAACATTGGTTCGTATCTGAAGCCCCACTTTCTCGTGGTTACACACCATTAAAGACAGAAGCCGGTCCATAAATCTGCTGACAGGTGTGTCAACATTCCCTTCAGAAGACATTACGGAAATCATAGACCCTTTGCGCTCACTGACAGGGCCCATAGGTGGGCTGTAGGTCGCTAAGCCAGAGCTGCTTCTCTGTTGCAGGCACACCCCACCAAGGGCACAAAGGAAGCCAGTCATGTTGATCCATTCCTGCAGCGAGTCTGTGTCAGACAAGTCTATGGATCCACCTCCACTGACATGGGACATCCGTCTCTTAACAATGGTCTTATGAAGGCTTTCTGCAGCCTAAACACGACATTTTTGTGAAAAGCATGAATTCCACATAGATTGGATAAAAATATTACAAATTAATCTCTTCCAGTAGGAAAAGTACATTTTACATTTTAAAAAACAAAGCTTGCAATTACCATGTACATTATTATTTAATTTTAGTTTTATTTTATGTATATAAACGTTTTGCCGGCATGAGTATCTCTGTACCAGGTGCATGCCTGGTACCCAAAAACTCCAGAGGTGAATGTTGGATCCCTAGAACTGATGTTACAGGCCATTCTAAATAATCAAGCAAGTGCTGGGAATCAAACCGGGGTCCTCTAAAAGAGCAACCAGTGCTTTTAACCACTGAGCTGTCTCTCCAGTTCCTACCATACATGTTATTAGAGAGTCACTTAATATATTTTTGTCATAACTTTACTAATAAAATCTACCTGAAGTGTCAAATTTCTTTTTAAAACCTCTGGTGTACACGGTGAACCTTGAAACAGGTGAAGAGGAAAGACAGTCACAAAGGCCCAAATAATCAATGACCCCATTTGTAAGAAATGGTCTGAAAAAGCAATTTTGTAGAAATAAAATATAGATTAGCAGCTACTCAAGGCTGAAGATGTGGACACAGAAAGATAGGAAAAATGGCAAGTCAAAACTAGAAATAGCTAAAGGGCACAGGTTTAGGGGAGGGGGTAATCTTTGAGAGGATAAAATGTATTAAAATTGACTGTGTATTGATTGACAGGTACACAATTCTGTGACTATATAAAAACAATCACTGGACTGTATACTTTCTGAGGATTTTTCCTTAAACAAATTATAGTTCTTTCTTTCTTACTTTCCTTCCTTCCTTCCTTTTTTCCTTCCTTCTTTTTCCTTCCTCCCTTTCTTTCTTTGGTCTTTCAAGACAGGGTTTCTCTATGTAGCCCTGACTGTCCTGGAACTTGCTCTGTAGACCAGGCCTAGAACTCAAGAGATCTGCCTGTTTTTGCTTCCTGAGTGCTAAGATTAAAGACGTATGTCACCATCACCTGGCCTATATATATAGTTTCTTCCAAAGACCTAATAATGAGAGCAGTATGGGTGATACAAATCAATTATACACAAATACCAATTAATCATTAATTGCTAGGTAACGGATAATTTATGGTAGTGGATGAGTAAAATGATATGCTTGATAATAATAGTTAAATGAGATGCCCAAAGTTTAAAATTGCATTTAACCTTAAAATGGGATGAACTGTCTGTCCACTAGATCCTTTTTAGAGTATCTAACAATACAGCCTAATGAATCAGACAGGGTGGCACATCTGTGATCCGAGCATTTGGGAAGTTAAAGCAAGAGGATCAATGCAAAGTCAAGGAGAGCCTGTTCTACAAATTGAGTTCTAGACCAGCAGGGATAAATAACCAGATCTTGTTGCAAAACAAACAACATGAGAATTGTTAGAAATGTTATTTTTCTCTATCTGCAGCTACTACATCTTTTCTAAAAGTTCTTTGAAGTACTAGGATGAAGGAAGAACAAGAAAAGGTAAAATGAATGGTCCCCCAGCTAAGAGGTTTCTAGCAGAGGTATTTCTGTGGTGATGTAACATTTTACATCTCTACTGTCCAACGTAGCAAATAAATGCTCAACTTTGGCTAGTATAAAACTGAGAAAATAAATTTAATTTATTTAACTTAAACAAGTTAGAACTTACATTATAACAGATATATGTAGCTAACAGCTACAAGATTAAGCAGTACAGACCTAGATGAAGCCCAAACGGTCTTAAAACAACTATATATAGTCTACTATTCTGAGTAGCTCACAAAAGATTACTTAAGTAAAGCAACAGATCAATTAATACACAAAAAAATCCACTGAACAAACTCACCTGGCCATCTTCCATTTTGGCTTTCGGATAGTTAAGGATTAGTTTTGTAGCCTGTTCCCATTTTGCATGTGTATCTTCCCAAGCCTAAAATGAAGTTAATTATCACTAGATAGCAAGTTTAGTGGTGAACTCAAAATCAACATGTAACTGCCAGGTTTTGAGTAGCATATCCTACTTGTCATATGCACATAGCTCAGAGGAGGCTTCTAACATGAGAGTGGGGGCCTGGGAGGGGTGCTGCTGCTACTGAGGCCATACCTCAGTGTTTCCTGCAGTGGGGTGCTCAATGCGCCTCAGCAGGGCCATCACTCTCTTCTGAAGGGCTGCTCTTCCTAAGGAAAGACAACAGCAAACCCTGTTAGTGCTTAGACCCATCTTCACAACTAGGAACTTGCTAAGCCCCACACAGCAGAATGAAGGAATAGAAGGAATGACTCTGGTGGCAAAGTTGAACACATACTCTTACCAGCCTCTACGAGAGTACTCATATCCAACTCCATAAATTCTAGAAGTTATCTCCACACCTATGTTTTAAAATCTCCTCATTTAAAATTCAAGGAAAGTAATTTCTATAGTCTACAACTAAAAGCAATTTACAGTGCCAGTTACTAGCAAAAGTGCACATTAAAAAAACTCAGTAAAAACTCTATTTCAAATGTTACTGAATTTCGTCCTACCTTACTCAGAAAAAGATTTCAAGTAATTTCAAATGTTACTGAATTTCACCCTACCTTGCTCAGAAAAGGATTTCAAGTAAACAGGTTTGAATTAGCCCTGGAAACTTTCAAACTGTCATCTTAAATACACTCCACTGTAGAAATAAGTAAATGTCAGTCAGAGTAACAGAGTAAAACAAAGGAAAAAAGAAAATTACCAACATTTACCTGTTGACATCATACTGCTGACAGAGGCAAATTCCATGAATGTGTTATAGTTGGGCAAGAAGTTGTGTACTGACACTTCATCTACCCCACACCTGATATCTGCTTCTTCACACAGGTGGCGGAAACAAGACATAGCAACCAGAACAGCTTCAGTGTCAGGACTCCACAGAAACATGTACAAAGCCACTTCTAGCTTGGTCTGGGCTTGTCGGCATATTGGTGGGGTTCCACTGCACCCTGCTGTGCTATCCTGGGAGGCAGGAGGGATATATCTGCAACTTAGGTGACTTCATTTGCAAATAACAATACCATCTATCACTGCACACAAAACTAAAAAGAATTCTCCTTTTTAATCATGAGACCTTTTCCCGATGTACCTGAACCAACATAATGCATAATGGTATTGTGTTTCAATTCAAATAGGTATTATCTTAGATTTCAGAAATATAAATAAAATCTATAACAAATATACAAGACATTAAAGCAGAGTCTGTTGCAGCAATACTGTGATCCACTTATGAGTCAACCATAAATGACAAAGGAAGAGGAAGCAACAGGAAGCACTACTTCTTAGAAGGAAGAACTGACTGAAACAACAACACATAAACTAAACAGTGTAGTACAAGATCTATTCATCTGATCTGACGCTGTCCAACCATTAACCACAAAAACACATTACAAAGCAAATACAGAATATGTAGGCAAAGTATACACTGCAGCTGCTACAGGTCTTAGTAGTGTTTCCCCCTCACTAGGCCACAGAAAAACTTCAGGATAAAAAAGCTATGTCTAAAAAAAAATCCTTACATAATCATTTTATAACTGCTCATATTATGATTTATACTTTAAGGACATTTACACATAGAAATAAATGTTCTGGTGGGGATAGCAATATATACCTATAATCTCAGCACTTGTGTGGAAGAGGCAAGAGGATCAAGGCCAGCCTGGCCTATATGAGACCCAATCTTAAAACTTAAAACTTCCAGGCATGACTGCCCACGCCAATAAACACAGCACTTGCAAGGCTGAAGAAGGAGGATTACAGTGAATTCAAGACTAGCCTGAATTATAAAGCAAGACTGTATGAATACATAAATACACATATGTATACATAAATAAAAACTAACAGCGAAAAGAAATAAAATCTTAACAACATTTATCCATAATATTTAGCAAAATCAGTATTTTATTTCAGTCCACTTGAATGTCCTTTAGTTTAACTTCCGCATATGAACAGAGGCTTTCTTACAGGGTTCACATCAGAATGATTACAGCTATCAGCCCTCCCAACAACTCTAGAGCAAGAATATTATGTCTGTTTTATTTATTTTTAACTATTATTATTAATCACTTTCTGCTTATTGGTGTGTTTTTGAACACAGTCTTACTATATAGATCAGGCCAGCTACACACTTGTCTCCTCTGAGAAAGAAGAATAAGCCCAACAGTTTAGGGCACTAAGTACATGGCTTGTCCTTCCGGAAGACTTGGGGTCACTTCCCAGCACTCGCGTTCCAGGGGATCAGAAGCCCTCTTCTGGCTTCTGCAGATACCAGGCACATATTAGTGCAGATATACAGGTAAGTGAAACAACCATACACAGTAAAAAAAAAAAAAAAAAAAACAAAAGTAAAATTTACAGTCAGACCTCTCAATTTGAGACCAGAATAGCCAGGGCTACTTAGTGATACCCTATGCTTAAAAAATAAACAGAACAAAAGACCAACTTGTGATCCTCCTGCCTCAGCCTGTGGATTGTAGGTGTGTTTCACCATGTCCTGCTATCTCCATTTTAGGGGGGCGGGGGTGGGGTTGTGGGTCCCCTCTCCAAGACAGGGTTTTACTATATTGTTTTGGAGGCTGTCCTAGAACTTGCTCGGTAGACCAGGCTGGCCTTGAACTCAGAGATCCGCCTGCCTCTACCTCCCTCGCACTGAGATTAAAGGTGTGAGCCACCGCTGCCTGGCTACTACCTCCATTTTAAATCTGAGAAACTGAGGCACAGAGTTATAAAGAATTTGCCCAGGGTTCCAGAGTAAGCAGTAATAAAACTACTCTAAGCAATCTGTAACTAACACGCAAAATTGTTTTTTGTTTTTTGTTTTTTTGTTTTCTTTTTTATGAGACAGGGTTTCTCTGTATTGTTTTGGAGGCTATCGGTCCAGCCCGGCCTCGAACTCACAGAGATCCGCCTGCCTCTGCCTCCTGAGTGCTGGGATTAAAGGCGTGCGCCACCACCGCCCGGCCACACGCAAAATTATTTAACTGAAATTTACTAAAGTCCACTCAGAAAGATAGAGCAGAGATGATGGTACAGGAGAGTTACGAAGGAAGTTACCTACCATGGAGGAATTTCCTTTTCCTTTCCGCAAAGATGCTCCAGGAGTGCAGGTCCTTAATAACTCATCATGATCCATTGACATCTGAGTGGTATTTCCACTAGCAGGAACATCACATCCTACTCCACAAAGGAAGAGAAAGTGACAGGAACTTCTATCCGCCTGCTAGAAAAAAAGAAGTGAGTGCTACTGAAGCACTGACACTTGTGAAAGAAGAGGGCTTAGCGTGGGCAGACCCCAATGCTTCACCTTGAGAAAGGCATTTAATCAATGTGAAAAGTAAGGTCTGTGCAATGTCTTTCTTTCACATGCCTCTTAGTTATCTACTCTCCAACACAGATGCTTAGTGAAATAAAGTCTATCACAAGAAAACTATACTACTTCATGAGTTACCGATAACAATTTCCCTAATCAGGATAATTAGAACTTAACTTTTTAAGATAAAGTTATACACTGGGTACATCATAGCATTGATTTGACTAGCTACAGTACTTGACCACACACAGCCCCCACCATGCACACAGTAGTACAATTACAAGGTAATTCTATGTTCAACTTTTTGGTAAATACTGTTTATATTTTTGTAAGTGTATATGCAAGAGTATACATACATGTAATGGGTGTCAAGTGGCCTTCTCTATCACTTTCCACCTATTCTTCTGAGGCAGGGTCTGTCCCCTGAACTTGGAGATTATTTCTCCGCTAGGTTGGAAGTCAGCAAGGCCCAAAGATCCTCAAGTTTCCAAGGTCTAGGAGCTGAGGTTATATTATGCATTGATACCTACCTGGCTTGTTACTTGGGTACTAAGATCTAAATTCTGGTTCTTATGACTGATCTTACTTGCTGAACTCTTTCTCCAGCCCTCAACAGCGAACTTTTGATTCAATACTAGATTACTAACACTGACTGTTAAGACATTATACCAAGGCCAGCATACAAAATTCCTTTCTTTCTTTCCTTTGTGTGTGTGTGTGGAGGGGAGTATTTTGCCTGTATTTCTGTCTGTAGGCCATGTGTCTGGAGAAGCAGACTGTCACACGCCCTGGAACTGGAGTCATAGACAGTTGGGAGTTGCCATATGGGTGCCAGGAATATTGAATCAGATCCTCTGGAAGAGCAGGAAGTGCTCTTACCTGCTGAGCCATCTCTCTAGCCCCTACACAAAATTCTTAAGTCTAATATCTTATCTTTGGGATAAACTTAAGTTCTACTATGTTAATACAACAAGATAAGCTAGATACAAATAACCATACCTCTTCATCAGCAGACTCTAAACAAAATTTTATCATGATGTTCGTAAGGTTTCTAATAGCTAAGATTCTAGTCATGGATAAAATTTCATTAAATCAAGTGTTCTCTAAACTATGTCATAATAGAAAAGCATATAAATTGATTATACAAATTTTATGTTGAAAGAAATACAAGGTTCTTTCCTATTCCTCAGAACTCCAACATGTTTCAACAGTTCAAATTAAAAATTTTTATTCCAGCCAGGCGTTGTGGTGCATGCCTTTAATCCCAACACTCAGAAGGCAGAGGCAGGCGGATCTCTGTGAGTTCAAGGCCAGCCTGGTCTACAGAGTGAGTTCCAGGACATCCTCCAAAACAATACAGAGAAACCCTGTCTTGAAAAAAAAAAAAGAAATTTTTTATTCTTTAAAAGAAGATTCCTGATCTTTTCAAAATATGAAATCATCTACTGACCCTACTGTACTAGAGTTCTCTACCATCAAGTTATATCTCCTGGCCTTGTTTGAAACAAGATCTCAATGTGTGGTTCATGCTGGCCTTAAACTCAGGCAGGTCCTCAATAGTACTGGAATGATAGGTATGTGCCGCCATACCCTGTTAAAAGGCAAAACCTTCAGGGAGGCATACAAATTAAACTTAGATTAAGAACCTTTGCCCTTTAGCTTTTTGAAAGATTATTTCCTAGACTAGCTTAGCCCTGAGAGCCAAGTAATATATGTATTGACTTAAGAATAAAGAGATTCTTTGAGCCTTCTGTGATTATAATAGCCTCCAGTCTCAATAGACCTGACCCAGAGTCCTACTTAAATCAACCAGAATTCATAAATATTCAGATCATCAGTACAAAGCCTAGAATATTTAAATGTTGAACTGCCAGGCAATGCCTTCTGTACTTACTTCTCTTAAGGACTTCATCGAGGGAGGAGCTGAAGTAGGATATAATCTAGCTAATAAAAACCTCTCAATTTGTCCTGTGCTGGTTTAGCTTTTTGTAACCTTGACACAAGCTAGAGTAATCTTAGAAGAAAGAATCTTAATTAAGAAGATACCTCAATCATGCTGGTCCGTGGACAAGTCTGTGGGGGCATTTTATTGATTGATGATTGATACGTGAGGGACCAGCCCACCACAGAAAGTTGCTACCCAGTAGTCTTGGGTTGTATAATGAGCAAGTCAGAGAGCAAGCTAATTAGCAGCATTCCTCCATGGTCTCTGTCTTAGTTCCTGCCTTGGCTTCCCCCAATGATGAACTGTCATCAAGACATATAAGCCAAATCCCCCAAACCATGTTTTGGTCCTGGTGTTTATTATAGCAACAAAAGGAAAATAACATGTCTCCTTACTATTCAAATATTTCCAACATAAGAAATGTCACTGTGCTTACCTTATTTTTAAGAAGAAATTTATTCCTGCAGATCAGAATTTCCCGTAACCACTTGAGAATTTCTGTGCTACTAAGCATTTGATGGCTAGTTAATTTCTTGCAGATGTAAAAAAGCATTTGTGAACTGCAGTAACATAAAGTTCATTGTTACAGAATCATCAAGAACCTAATATAAGCATAATCATACATAGAATGGCATTATTTCATAATAGATGTAAATTTAGAGGCTTGGTTTCCCTTCTTCATGGGTTTTATCCAAATGTTAATAACAACAAATTAAAAAGATCCTTGTAGTAGGGGGTAAGAATAAATCATAAATTCACATGCACAGCAAAGACTGCAAAGAAACAGAGTAGTAGAGAGCTAGGGTTTGAAAAACTGCTGCCTGCAGGACAAAGTGACCCCACCAAGCTCTATAAAGGACGTTTCAGTGGAACACAGCCACACTCCTTCATTCCCATGTGGTACGTAAGTGTTTTCTTGCTCCAAGAATAAAAGTGCATAGTTAAAATAGAATGGATGAGCCAAGAAGCCTGGCCTATTTCCTACCCTTCAGAGAACAAGTTTGCCAACTTGTTCTTGATGTTATACTAGAACAGCATGTCTAATAGTTCAGCTACTAGCCACCCATGTAACTACAGGAGCACATTAAATGAAGCTTGTCCAAATTGAGATGTGCTTTGTGAGACACACTACAAATTTTGAAGACTTAATGAAAACAAATATAAAATGTCACATTGAAAATTCAAATTAATTATATGTTGAAATATTATATATATATCAAGTTAAATAAAATACACTAAAATTTAAGTTTTTTTCTTTTATAAAGTAGTAAATTAAAAGTTAACACACATGGCTCCCATGAATATATCATTATTTTATACTCCACTTCCAAGTGATTCAGTACACCCATGTCCAAATTAAGAGAGCAAAACCTGAAATTTATAGATTTACATCTTCCTAATGAGGTATCTTCATGCTCATTAAAAGACAGCTTCAGTTCAGAAATACACAGTGAATCCTGTGGGGTTTTTTTTTTGTTTTTTGCTTATATGCATGTTTCTAACTTATTCACCAAAATGATCAGTATTTATAGAAGATTTACAGAAGGTCATAGTTGCCCCAACTTCCAATGCTGGGAACTGAACCACAGCCTCATGCCTACTCATCATGTGCTGTACTACTGAGCTACGTGCCTAGTTTTAAGAATGGGAGCTTTAAAAACTAAAAGCAAAATTATAAAATATTAACACTCTATGCTTCTAATGTAAAAATCTATTAAAAACACAATTGTAGGGAGCTGGGGAGATGGTTCAGCAGTTAAGAGCACTGACAGCTCTTCCACAGGACTTGGGTTCACTTGCCAGCACCCACATGGCAGCTCAGAACTGTCTGTAACTCCAAGTTCTAACACTCTCACACAGACATACATGCAGGCAAAACACAAATGCACATGAAATAAAATTTAATTATATAATTAATTGGTTACTTAGTTAGTTAGTTAGTTAGTTAGTTAGTTAGTTAGTTAGCTAGTTAGTTAGTTAGGGAAAAAAACCACAATTGTAGCCAAGCATGGGAGGTCACACCTTTAGACCAAGCACTCTAGAGACAGGTGGATCTCTGTGACTTCAAGGCCAGCCTGGTCAACACAGAGAGCCAAGTCTACATAATCAGATACTATCTGAAACAATAAACATAATTGTAACTGCATAGACACACATAATAGAGGATAATGCATGATGTAACAAAACTTGTATTAGAGTGATAAAAGTTAGTACCATTTTAAAATTTTGCCCATGGCAAAACACAATGCAAAAAACAAAAAGAAAAAATCCTTCTGTTTTGGATATATGTGATATTTCTGACAGTTAAATATTCTAATAGTCTCAATCCAAAAACATACAAAATCATAAAATATAGGTATAACTGAATAAATATTACAATGAACTTAAATACTATAACTCTAATATACAAAAACAAAATACAAAATTAAAATTGCAAACCGAATTAAAATTAGAAAGTACATATACCTAATTTCCCAAAATGTCTCTACAGGAGCATCAGGGTTCCATAAATCAATGCTATCTAACTGATGAAGAACCAGCAAGGCCTGAAATTTAAAGAGAAGAGAATTCAGGGAAAACTTTTTTTAGAAAATTGACTCTGCAATAATTATTTTGCAAATGCTAACACAATAGGCTGTGTAACTGTAGCCTTGAGATACAGGGAAAACAAGCATTCTGAGGGTGGATCTGGAGAACACAATTTTCTAGAGCATCAAAACCCAGAGCTAACCCCTTTGTCCCATCATTCTCACTCTTGTCCCACCAGGTGGTGGTGGCGCACGCCTTTAATCCCAGCACTCGGGAGGCAGAGGCAAGGGGATCTCTGTGAGTTCAAGACCAGCCTGGTCTACAGGGCGAGTTCCAGGACAGCCTCCAAAGCAATACAGAGAAACCCTGTCTCGAAAAAAACAAAGCAAAACAGAAATAATAATTGTGAAATCTTGTCTCAAAAACAAACAAATGTAAAAGAAATTGTCGGGGCTGGTAAGATCGCTACAGCTGGTAAACATATTTGCCATCCAAGGCAGAAACTTCAGTTTTTTTCTGACCTCCACATGGACACACAATTTAAAAACAAAACAAAAGCCCCCAAAACAAAACTACTACCTTCCTCTGGCATTCTCAGGCAATGCACACACAGAGGACACATATATACATGCACACAAAACATCCATACACAAATAATAAATAAGTCTTAAAAAATTAGTACAATGTTGTTTTATTGCTACCTATGATATAAAGTAAACAAATAGAACCCCTTTCCACAGATCTTATAAAACATAAGGACACAAACATGTCGCTTCCAGAACAGACATCCATTTATCACTCATTGAAATTATAAACCAAAGAACATCAAAAAAAGCATATAGATAGGCTAGAGAAATGGATCAGGGGCTCAGGGATTAGAGTGTACAAGGTTCATGCAGAGGACCCAAGTGCAGGTCCAGCACCCACATCAGGTGATTCACAATCTCACAATGGCCTGTAACCCCAGCTCCAGGGATTCCGATACTTTTTTTTTGGCTCCTGTAGACACCCCCCCACACAAACACACAATTTAAAAATATGTTAGATATATTTTTAAAAATAAAAGCATACAGAGTCAAATAATTCTTTGAAAAACAAAGCACCTAGAAAAATAAGAATGGAGACAATTACAATCTTTCTTTCAAGATGCTAGAATTAACTTCCCCTTACCTCCATCGCTTCCTGAGCAATCTCTGGCATATGTGACTGAGGGACCAGTTGGACAAGCCCTGTGATTAATTCTGCCGTACTGCCTTGAGTTTCAGGGCCCTGTTTTCTTGGATTCTGCAAGAGAAAAGCAAATTTTATTTTTTAATTAAATTTACTTATTTATTTATTTAGGAGTGTCTCTTTATGTATATTGCACATGTGTACAGGCAGAAGAGTATTGAATGCCCAGTAGATATTTGCCTGATAAGGGTACTGGGAACAGAACTCAGTAACTGTAGTGATGCAGGAAGTGTTCTTAAGCACTGAGTCATCTCCCCATTGCTTTCAAACTTCATTTTTATTTTGTTTTGTTTTTTTTAAGAAAGGGCTTCTCTAAGTAGCACTGGCCATCAGGGAACTCACTCTGTATTTACCTGCCTCTCACCACCTGGCTCAAACTTCAATTTTTAAAAGAATGTATCAGCAGGATTATGAGGTATAAAGTAAAGATTAGAGCTGGAGAGATGGCTTAGAGGTTAAGAACACTGACTACTCTTCCAGAAGTCCTGAGTTCAATTCCCAGCAACCACATGGTGGCTTATAACCATCTATAATGAGATCTAGTGCCTTCTTCTGGCTTGTATGGATATATGCAGGCAGAAAAGTGTATACATAATTAATAAATCTTTTAAAAAATTTTAAAGTAAAGATCAATTATAAACAGCTAGAGTTTCCTTTAGAGAAGATGAAAACAGTCTGCAAATGACAAATGGAAGGGGGTACTAAAGAGATTGAACATTTGGTCTGACTCATGAGCTACAGCCTCACCATGAAATGATCTTTTTTATTGTATGTGAATTATAACTCAATAAAAATACAGTTTTTTTGAAGCCAGGGCAGTGGTTGGGCACACCTTTAATACTAGCACTCGGAGGCAGATTTCTGTGAGTTTGAAGACAGCCTGGTCTAAAGAATGAGTTCTAGGGCAGGCAAGGCTACCATATCAGCAGACTCCTAATTAAACAGATAATAACTTTTCAACTAAAAAAAAAAGTATCAGAGGCTAGGCATATAAATCAATACATTCTCAGCACCACAAGGGAAAAAGAAATTACTGTACATATCAGTAATCCAAGGGTTAAGTATAAAAGTCCTGTTCAGTGCACAAAGCTGGGCTGTCAATGAAGCTTTAGCTGGTAGAATGCTTGCTTAGCACACACAAAGCTCTGGACTCTATTCCAGCACTTGTGAGATATAGGGAAGAGGATCAGACATTCAAGGCCACCTTTGATTACATAATGAATCAGAGGCCAGCCTGGGTTACATGTAACCCTGTCTTAAACAATAAAACTGACATAACTACTGTTACAAGAGAACTAGAATCTATCCCTAAAGAAAGCAATACTTCAGGGCTAGAGATATAGTTCAGCCATTAAAGGCTTGGCTCATAACCAAAACTATAAAAAAGCAGTAATTCAGTCACTGTGGGAAAATGCTATCATTTACTAAGAAATCACTACTCTTTCTAAATGTGAAGTTTACCATTTTCAACAAATTGTTTCTTATAATTTGGAAAAATCTATTTACACTTAAATAGTATATGGTTTGCTGGCAAGATAATGCACACTTCTAATCCCAGCAGTTAAGAGGCAGATTTATAAGGTTCTTGAGTTCAGGACTAGCCTGGGCAGCAAAGGGAGACCCTATTTGGAAAAACAAAGAGAAAAATAACATATTTAAACAAAACTGACTGAACTTATATCTGTATTTTATTTTGTTGATTACATATTTTTCACTACAGTGTCTAACACATATTAGCACTCTAGCATATCTGTAACCCAAACTCTTGTCCATTTTCTGATGCTCACTATTCATGTATAACTCTAAAGAATTTCTTGAACAGCAAAGACATAGTTGTGAAAAAGATGTCACCTGGCACATTGGCATGTGCCCTTAATTCTAGCACTCAGGAAGCAGAGACAGGTGTATCTTTATGAGTTTGAGGCCAGCCTGGTCTACATATCAAGTTCCAATACAGTCAGAACTTCATAACAGGGAGACACTGTCTCCAAAAGACAAAGAGCAACAACGACAGGAAGAAGAGGAGGAGGAGGAGGAGGAGGAGGAGGAGGAGGAGGAGGAGGAGGAGGAGGAGGAGGAGGAGGAGGAGGAGGAGGAGGAGGAGGAGGAGGAGGAGGAGGAGGAAAAGGAAGAGGAGGAGGAGTAAGAGGAGGAGGAGGAAGGAAGGAAGTAAAGTTGTCTCCTACCTCCCAACAGCCTCATTAGAAAAGCAAGTTTTAAATAAATTACTAAATAAATAGCCAAACTGCAAATGAGGTAAGAGCTGTCAAAGCACCCTCTGCCAGGAGTTTCAGAGGCTGGGAATGTGGTCCAGTCAGTGAAAGCTCCATAAAACTGACACTATAACTTAGTGCAGAGAAACGATTGGGGGATGCAAGAATGAAGGTAGATAATCAGGAAGCTGGAAAATATGGAGTAACACAAACCAGGACAAAGATGGCAAAAACAGAAGACAGAATCATGTTACTTTTTAAAATACCATGTTTGAGACCATGTTTACATTTCTGCTGTTAATGAAGGTTTAGAATTTATGAGTAAATATTCTATTTTCTTATGGTTACTGGGAAAAGTTAGCTATCCACTAGATGGCAACAAAGGAAGCAGTTTCCATGGAGCTAGACTGCTGTCAGAGGTAGTGACAGTTGCCTATCAAACAACACCCTACCAACTCACTGACCACCAAAAGAAAACAAAAGCCCAACAAAGGGCAAGGGCAGGCCATTTTTACTTTCTCTTCTAATACTGGTAATAGAAGGCTGATGGAGGAACATAGGGAGCTAACTATAAAAGCTAACTTGCTCAGTAACAGAAAAAATAATGAGTAGTATAGATGCAGAGCACACTGATTTTATAGCTGTTTGTTTCACCTAACCCCAGGAATGTGCCCCATTATAACACATGATCTAAATCAGAAAAAGGTCAAATGATGTCACTGAAGTCAAGTCAATGATAAGGGAAAGGTGAGAAATTATATTAGAATTCTCTGGAAATAGTTTTCTTGGCAATGTCTTAGAGCTTGTTACTCATGATTAGAAAGGATTTTTTTCTTTCAATTCATCTAAATTAGTGGAATAATTTCTCAAAGCATTTCATTAAAATACTTACACAAAGTAAAAGCTTTGGGTCTGCGTGAATTAGTTTCACCATGGACAAGAGAAGATACTTATAGCTCCTTGTTTCCAGGTCTGTAGGCTTTTCTTTAAATTTAAGACTTGTTACCTTTTCTTTAAATGTAAGACTCTAGTAACAAAACAAAAACATGACAGCACCTTAGTGAGAATCAGACATCAGATTTAGAATAATAGCTATGCATTATAGAAGAAATTATTTAAAAGGCTTTGAAAACAGACACATTGCATTCCATACCACCAAATGGATAATATTAGAAACATAAGCTAATAAGCATTCATTTAATATTGCATTTTTTAAAAGGTTTTCATACCATTTACATTATTCTTATATATAATACTATAGTAAGCTTTAAAGAAAATCTAAAGCACTAAAGGAATAATATCAAGTTGGCTCCTGGATTACAAAAAAAAACCTAGCTTTCAAAATATGAAAATGTTAAGAGGAAAAAATATTGGGTCTATGTCTTATACACATATACACACTGGGGAAATCAAATTAGCAACCATCACACAGACACACACACACCATAAAGACAGTGTAACATTATCAGTTTTTTAAGATGCACCACTTCTTGGCTGTAGTCAAAGAAATGAAATACTACTGTGAATCCCAGGATAAGGCACAAAGGAAGATAAACATCTACTTTGAGACAGAAGTAAAGGTACACTCTTTGGACCTGATGAAACATTCTCTGTAAGCAACCTCTGTATTTATAGCTTTAACCTCTGAATTTATTCTTTAGTCTTGATGGCATTTCTTCTTTCAAGTTATAGAATGCATCTCCTTGATGACAATGTAGTTCTACTAAAGAGATACTATGGACAATTAAATAATTATGAACGTCAATCAATAAAATAAATCCAGGAGCTGGAGAGATAGCTCAGCAATTAAGTGCACTTGCTACTCTTCCAAAGGACCAGGTTTACATCCCAGCACCCAAATGCCAGCTCACAAATGTCCGTAACTCTCAAGATCTGACACCCTCACATAGACATACCTGCAGGCAAAATACCAGTGCACATAAAATACTTTTAAAAATAAAATTTTACAAAATTACATTCTGGATTCAATGTCACTCTGTTTTCTCTCTAGTCTTGCAAAATATTTCCTTTTTTTCCTTTAACACCACAAAAAGAATCTGTTTTCAACCTGGTACCTGCAGTGAGCACATAACAGACACAGGGTCCTGGGTGCCTGCAGTAAGGATATATAGATACAGGGGAAGCAGACTATGCAGACTTTATTTGGCCATGACAAACATCTATGCAGACAGGCTGTTTTCTTTCAGTTAACAATTGGAGATAATACATTAATTTACAAGTGTTTAAGAAATAAAATACTCAAACACTCCAAAACTAAGGTAAATGTTTATCAAATGTATTTAGCAAGTTCTGTGTAGTGTTTGCTCTTGTTAAATCATAGGGGTGTGTGTGTGTGTGTGTGTGTTTCTTGCTGATATAAGTCAGTGTGATGTTGCCACTACACAGGAACCATACAATCAGAGGACAATCAGGTGCTAGAAGTTTTTTTTCTGATTTAATAATCACATTTTAAATAACTTTTAGCTTGATGTCAAGTACTAACATGTAGATTTTGTTCTACAGTATAACTGACTAGTGGGAAATCTAAGCCTTGAGAAATTTCAAATATTTCTTTTAATATTTAATATTTAATATTTTAATATCTAATATTCCCATTAGTGGGTTACATAAAATACGGAATAATTTGCTGCTTAAGAAACAAACCGTTAGCCGGGCTTTGTTGGCACACGCGTTTAATCCCAGCACTTGGGAGGCAGAGGCAGGCGGATCTCTATGAGTTTGAAGCCAGCCTGGTCTACAGAGAGAGTTCTAGGACAGCCTCCAAAATAATACAGAGAAACCCTGTCTTGAAAAACCAAAACAAACAAACAAAAAGGAACAAACTGTTCTGTTTCTTAAGCAGAAATGTTTAAAAAAAAAAGACATTTTAGGATCTAAACTGACACATGTACATATGTGCTTGGGAGAAAGACAGTCAGCTATGCCAGCAAGAACTTCCTACACCAGAGATTCAGGTAGTTAATTAGGAACCAAAATCACCTGCTAATTTAAGACTATGAGACTGACTTACAGACATGGTAAGAAACATCTAGGCCAATGTCACTTAAATCTAAAAAATGTAAACTGCTTTTGTGGTAGTGAAATAATCCAGATACAGAAATTTTTAGTTCAGTCAAATAAGAAATTAAATCACTAATTAATTCAAAAATGCATACTATATATCCAGTGTGTGCCTGGCACACAGGAGTTTAAGAGCCTGTGTTGAAGCAGCAAAAGCTTCATTATCCATCAGGCTAACATGCTATTGAGGTAGAACAACTAATGAACTGAGCAGGGACTAGAATGGATATCAAAACTCCGCAAAACTAATTCTGCCTGGCCACTCACTAGCCATTTGACATTTTAATTCCTTTAACAATATTTGATCTTAGCCGGGCTGTAGTGGTGCACGCCTTTAATCCCAGCACTCGGGAGGCAGAGGCAGGCTGATCTCTGTGAGTTCCAGGCTAGGCTGGACTGACAGCCTCCAAAACAATACAGAGAAACCCTGTCTTGTAAAACAAAAAAAAAAAAAAAAAAAACCTTAGTTTCCTTAATTATGAAAACAAATCAAATGAAACACTTTCAACGAGTTGAAACAATAAAATTCCATCCAACTCAAGCTACAACATAATAAAAACTCTTCAGGAACTTGTTAAGTTTATTCAAAACATCTTCAGGGCTACTCCGTAGAAGAGTCAAAAAGAGGAACTATGATGGTTAAAAGTAACAACATATTTTTATCTTGCTGAAGAAGGCCAAGTTATTAATTTATTTGATTGTTTGTTTGTTTATGGCTATTTAAAAAAATATTTACAGCCAGGTTTTGGTGGCACATGCCTTTAATCCCAGTACTCGGGAGACAGAGGCAGGTGGATCTCTGTGAGTTTGAGGCCAGCCTGGCCTCCAGAAGGAGTTTCAGGACAGCCAAGACAACATAGTGAGACCTTGTCTTGAAACAAACCAACAAACAACACCACGCCCCCCCCCAAAAAAAACCCCAAAACTATTACTGTATACATGTGTGAGGACTTGTATATTATAGTGCTACTGTGGTGGTCAGAGGTCAACTTTGGAGATGGTTCTCTCTCCTTCCTCTGTGTGTTCAGGGAATTGAACTCTAGCAGGCTTGTGTGGTAAGTGCTTACTGAGCAATCTTGCTGACACTTTTTTTGTTTTCTTCTCTTTTGGCTTTTTAGAATATATGCAGAGACAATGATGTAAAATTCTGTTCTGTCACTGTTCTTTGTTCAGATTTATTATTTGCTTTTCCTTTTTATGCAGAACCTAGTTGTGCGCATAGAAGAGTGTGTGCCTAGCAAGGGTATCGTGAGGGAAGGATGAGATTTTAAGGGAGGTGGGAAATACTGTTACTGACACATGTAATAGGAAAGGTGAAAAGAGGAGTCATTGAGGGAGAAGAAACCAGCTGGAGAAGTAGGAGGGTAGTGAATGAGAAAACATAGGTATGAAGATGACATGTTGAAACCCATTACTTGTATGCTAACCCTAAGGATTAATGTTAAAAAAAAAACAATTTATTGGACTGGAGAAATGGTAAAACAAACAAAAAACAAAACAAAGCAAAGAAGTAGTTATGATTGATGTCTGGGGATGTAGTTCAGTGGTAGAATGTTTATATAACATGAGCAAAGCTGTGTGTTTGATCCCTAACATTACCAAAAAAATGTGATTTAAAAATCAAGTCGTTATTTAATTAGTTTTATTCACACTGGGCTGTGCCTTCTCAGTTAAACCTGTTTGGAAACTAACTTACTCACATACTCACAGACATGCCCAGACTTAAATCCAGTCAGGTTGACAATGAAGATTAGCCATCACAGTGACATTTTGGAAGTAAATCTAGTCCAAGTTACCCATGAATTAAGGGTTTGGTTAAAACAGTAGTTTTCTTAGTGATACTCAATCTATGATAAGTAATTGAGATGGTTCTCCATGTCTAAGATAAACTAAGAGTAGAGGAAAATGACTTAATTTATATTGAGGCAACTTTCTCCTGTTTCAGAGAAAGGTTTCATTTTTTACTATTTTATTTATGTGTATGTGTATATATCTATATGCATGTTTGTGTATGTGCTTGTGGACTACAGAAGAAGGTGTTGGATCCCCTGGAGCTGGAATTACAGACTGCTGTGAGCATTAGGTTCTGGTAAAAATGACCAGTGATATGAAAGAGAGTACAAATAAGCATATGAGCTTAAACCAGGTCCTGGAGAGGAAAGTCGGAAACATAAGAGACAGAAGAGCCGGGTGTTGGTGGTGCACGCCTTTAATTCCACCACTCGGGAGGCAGAGGCAGGAGGATCTCAGTGAGTTCGAGGCCAGCCTGGCCTACAGAGTGAGTTCCAGGACAGCCAATGCTACACAGAGAAACTCTGACTCGAAAAACAAACAAACAAAAATAAAAATAAATAAAATAACCTAAAGTTTTCCTATAGCCATTACAGGCACACATTCAAAATTCTATACATAGGAAAATACAAAGCTTCAAAACATTGGGAAGAGCTAGAGAGATGGCTCAGTTGTTGAGTGTGTACTCCCCTTTACCAGAGGACCCCAGTTCAGTTCCCAGTACTCATGTCAGGTGGCTCACAACCACCTGTAACTCCACTTCTAGAAGGAATCTGATGCCCTCTTCTGGCCTCCATGAGCACCTACATTCATGTGCACATACAAACACATATACTCATGTAATTAAAAATAATTAAAATGAATCTTATAAAACACTGGGAAGGTGGAATCAGGAAGACAGTGAGTTCAAGGTCAGCCAAAGCTACCTGGCCTGTATCCTAAAAGGAAAAAAAGCTTAAAATTGATCCTGAAAATTAAATATACATTGACACTTCCAAAAATAATAATACAAATATGAATAAAACAAAATTCCTATCATATATGTCTTGAACCACAATAAATCCTCTATAATCACAACTTTAAGTGATCACAGCACACTGTAGGAATCACAGAGTCAACTAACAACCAAATCTAAGAAACTTCTAAAAGTAAAACATATCAGACTACCAACCAAATCTGTGGCTGCTCAAAAGAATAAACGAGGTTCATTGTTTCAGTACTCATGCATAAAAATTAAATAGCAGAGATGTTAGGTTGAGTATAAAACAGGAAGCAAATAAGGTTCTTTCACCAATTCCTATTAGATCTCTTACCAGCGTAAGAGATATAATAAACTGAGGTAATAAACAGAAAGTCTTTTTTTTTTTTTTGCAATGCTGAAAATTGATCATAAGGGTCAATGCATATTAGGTAAGCACTTTACCACCGAGCTATATCTCAGCACATAGTAGTCTGGGGTTGGAGATACAGCTCAATGCTATAGTAGTACATACTAAAGGCCCTGGTTTTGACTGTTAGCATTCTCTCCTAATGCAAAAACAGAGGGTGGGGGAAAGAACTAAGAAATTACTAAACCTTAAAAGAAAATAATGTCTAGTTAAATAATGTTTACATAGCTATTCCACTAACATATATATACCTGCGACAAAATTTTTAATTAAAAAGATACTGTGAGGCAGACAGTGGTAGTGCATGCCTTTAATCCCAGCACTTGGGAGGCCGAAGCAGGTGGATCTCTGTGAGTTTGAGGCCAGCCTGTTCTACATTGTGAGTTCCAGGAAAGGCTCCAAAGAGAAACCCTGTCTCAAAAAAAAAAAAAAAAAAAAAAAAAGTACTGTGTATTCACCATCACAAAAAGAAAAGCCAACTAAAGTAAGCTTGCATATTAACTTTTATTTAATAGAATATCATTAGGTCAGAGGGTATAGTACAGTACACGTCTGGCATTCATGTTGGACCTGGGATTGATGTCCAGCACTGAAGGAAAAACAAAAAAAAAAAAAAAAAAAAGAATCAAAATAATAATAAATGACCTGTCCCTTCAGCTATTAAAATTGGGATAAATAATGACAAAGCTCCTTGAAAAGAAAACTTTTTCATTTGAATTATCTGGTATAGTTTTTTAAATCCTCAAAAACTACTACTGACAACTGGAAAGGAATGAACATAATGAAACAAAGTATTTTGTATATTTTGTATACTGACCATAGGAACTTGGGAAGAGAAGCATGCCAGGGAAGAAACTGTTTAAAGTGTGAGATGGATAGTTTATTAGATAAAACCAATAGGTGAAGACATGCTACAATTTCTTCTGAAATGATAGGATGTGACTACAATGGTAACTATACACAGAAAAGTCAAAGAAATAATGGACTTTTCTGAGGTAGTTACAAGGGGTCATATATACTTACAGCCACAGAAGCCCACTGCCATGCAAAACAGTGACTGGTTGGCATCTGACCATGTGAGCGACAGCAGCCAATAAGAATAGAAAATAAGCAGAAGACAAAGCACCACCAATCAATGTCAAGAGTTGCCATGTCAATGTTTTTCCTACATACAGACAGAAATTATGTACACAATGCTTTCATTAGCTGTGGAAACTCACTTTCTATGATCTTTAAATTCTCTATTAACCAACCTCTTGGAACACAATTTCCAGATATACCTTTGTCAAGTTTAAATAAACATCAATGTCAAAGTGTCTATCAATATTTGCTCAAATTTTGCTAAATGATTGTATTTACAAAGACATATATATCTTTAAGTAGAAAATGTTTTAGTCCATTTCTAATTTTCTGTGTACTATTCAGCATCAGGACATTCACTCTAACCCAGGGGTCTGGTTCCATTGCTCATCCTTGAAAGTAAGAAGCAAATCAAACACCTGAGTAAGAAAAAGTTAAACTGAAAACAGAAGAAAGGTGACATTCACTAGGATATTATAGCAATCTCTACGAATTCTTCTTTAAGAATTAAGTTCACTTAAGAGACAGAGTGAGAAACAGATGCTGTTGACTAGGCAGCAGTGTCACTGCAATACACCATAGACAACATCCATGGGAAGGAAAGACCCATCAACCCTCTGAACTCAAGTCAGCAGGAATGAGATGAAGATACTGAAAATGCAGCAGACAGGTGGAATTCAAAACTCATGCTTTCTTACTGGTGCCATTCGTATTGCTGGGTGCGCTCCACAGCCCTGCACTGCTTTATGAAGTGTTTCACCAAACATATTTCGAAGTTCAACTGAGTGACAATATACAGCATCAATCTTAGGCCACCAATCCAACGCAGACTAGAGAAAAAACAAAAAAACATAATAGAGTACAAAAATCACATAAGTGGTATATTACCACTGCAGTTCTAAGGTTTTATTTTTTGTGAGAAACTTTCTACTAAGACCATGCAAACACACAGTATGATTTTCAAAGTCTTCAAATGATGTCTTTAAGTCAAAACTAACTAGACATACTATATTTTAAAATATAATAATGAGCATGTGCAAATGAGGCTGTCCTTTCTCAAAATGTCATACTGAATTTAAAACCAAAATATTTGGAAAATTCTTTAGCCAATCTTTGTCTTCTTATTTATTTATTTTTTTATTTTTAGTGTTCAGCACATTTCAGAAACACATGCATATATTATATATATTTTGCCAGGTTAAAAAATCAGTTTTCCATGAGATTAGGGGTTCAACACACTGCTGAAAGACTATGTAAACCATTAGTTAAATGCTTACAAACAACAATAATCAACATGAAATTAGTAAATGAAATAAAGCCATTAGTAAACCGATAATCTTTAAGTTGATAAGCAGATGGCACAATACATGGAAGACTAAATGGTCACCATGAACAAAGACAGCTGATCCTACCTAAGAACTTTTATTTTTACAATGCTGAAAATTAAAGCCAGACCTTTGGAGCTTTTATATGTTAAGCAAGTGTTCTACCACTCAGCTACATCCTTAGATGAAGCAAAGGATTTTTAAAATAATTATTTTATATGGATATTTTCCTATTTCTGTTTAGACTACCAAGCTGGTTTATAAGACCTGTTTTAATTAAAAGTGTATTTTAATGACCTTTATTTTAAATTTAATTACTATATTTTAATTTTTAAATGCTTCAAAACTGCTAATTGTGAAAATTCACTAAAGTTTATTATCAGTTTATAGAAAAATGATCAGATAAACTTTCACTACTTATATAGCTTATACATGAAAACAATAGGCTTAAAATATGAATTATCAATTTGTAATACTCTGATTAAAAATATGATAGAGTAATCACATATTCACATAGCAAATACAGGTAATTTAACAGCTTCACACATCCTACTCATGATTTCTTTTTTATTCAAAATCAAGCTAATCTTAACATTTAACTTCCCACTCATAAGTCACAGTATTGTTGAGCTTAAATCTCTATATACAAGAAACCTAAAAACAAAACTCAGGCAGGCATAGTGGTGTATACCTGTAATCCTGACACAATGGAGGCTAAGGCAGGAGGAAGTTCAAGAACAGACTGGGCAACACAGCAAGACTTCATCTAAAGAAATAAATAAAACAAGAGTCAGAGAAGTAGTTCAGCAGTTAAGAACCCTTGCTGCCCTTACAGAAGACCCTGATTCAATTCTCAACACCTACATGGTGGTTCACAACTATCTGTAACTGTCTGTAATTCAGGTTCCAGGGCATCCAACACCCTCTTCCCGCCAAACATGCATATGATGCACAGGCATATAAGTAAAACAACTGAAAAATTAAAAATTCATTAATTAATTTAAAAATACAAATGATAAGACTCATGGTTGTTTTTCTATCGGTTACTTAATTTAGCTAAGTCCTACAAACTGACATAGTTTACTGTCTCCATTTCCTTTTTCAGGTGGTTGCAATTAAATACGAAAGCAACTTAAGGGTGAAAGAGTTGATTTAGTTCACAGTTCTAGGTTACAGTGGCAAGAAAGTCATAGAAGCAGGAACCCGAGATAGCTGGTCATATCAAATGGACAATCCATAAACAGGAACAAAGAGCAATGGTAATAAACATACATTCTAGTGCTTAACTTCTTTCTCCACTCCACTGCCTAGGCAATGGTGCCAAACAGTAGACAAGGATCTTACTACCTGAACTAACATAATCAAGATAATCACTCTTTCATGGACATGCTCAAAGGCTCATCTTCAGGTCTCACAAAGCTGGCCACACTAACCACCACAGTTAACTATCACATTTCTCAACTCTGTGGCACCGGTGTGCCCAAGTTAATCAGTGCAACTACATTTCTATGGGTTTTTTTTAATCACCTTAAAAGAAACAAAATGATGAATTATTTAAAACAACAACAAAAAAAGTATACTGAAGCCGGCGTTGGTAGCACAAGCCTTTAATCCCAGCACTCGGGAGGCAGAGGCAGATGGATCTCTGTGAGTTCAATGCTAGCCTGGTCTACAGAGCAAGTTTCAGGACAGGCTCCAAAACAACACAGAGAAACCCTGTCTCAAAAAACCAAAAAACCAAAAAAAAAAAAAAAAAAAAAGTATGCTGAAGCCCTATTTCCTATACACTGCATAAAATCTTACCAGAAACTGGTAAGCTAAATACACAGGCATTCTTTTTAACAACCTATACAAATTATTGGGGAAGGGGATGCTGTTTTCAGTTCTGGTTATTATTTTCATCTTTTTGCTTTGCGACACAGGATCTTGCTGAAAATTCAATATGTTGTCCAAACTAGTCTAGAACTTGTTATTCTCCTGCCTCAGCCTCTGAAGTGCTAAGTCACCATAACCAGCTTACTATATAAGCATTTTTGATAACTGTAAAAGTGTACCATAATAATAAGTATAACTTTCAGGCTTAAGATTTAATAATTTTATACTTTTCCTCTTTCATAAGGAATTAATCCATTTATTTCAAAGTAAAGAATACAATTTCTAATAAAATAGGCACTAAAAATTAGACATCAGGGACTAGAGAAATGGCTCAAAAGTTAAGATCGCTGGCTGTAATTCCAGAGGTCCAGAGTTCAATTCCCAGCAACCACATGGTGGTTTATAACCATCTGTAATAAGGTCTGGTGCCCTCTTCTCTCATACAGGCATACATGCAGTCAGAACAATGTGGACATAATAAATAAGTAAATCTTTTTTTAAAAAATGAGACATCAATTGAGTTAGTAAGAAAATCTGAAACTAGTCTATTTAAATAGACATTTCTCCTTAACAGTTTTTATATTTAAAAAACCACTTATATACTCATAAGTCAATTATATGCATTCCTAAGAGGTTATTTAAATGATTTTCAAATATCTTAGAAATGTCTTTAACCAGTTCATGGTTAATATGAAGTATTAATAAGCAAATTACAATAAACTGCTACAAGGAAAAACCTATAGTAAACTACTATCCCATATGCAACATATTCACTTCCAAGTATATTTCTTTTTTTTTTTTTTTATGAGACAGGGCTTCTCTGTATTGTTTTTGAGCCTGTCGGTCCAGCCTGGCCTCGAACTCACAGAGATCCGCCTGCCTCTGCCTTCTGAGTGCTGGGATTAAAGGTGTGTGCCACCACCGCCCGGCTCCCAAGTATAGTTCTTAATTTTCCAACCGCACATCTAATTTAACCTTAAAAGGTCTATACAGGAGCCCAGCAGGGGGTGGCACACCTTTAATCCCAGCACACAGAAGGTAGAGGCAGGCGGATCTCTGTGAGTTTGAAGCCAGTCTGGCCTACAGAGGAAGTTCCAGGATAGCCAGGGATACACAGAGAAACCGTGTTTCAAAACAAACAAACAAACAATAAATAAATAAACAAGCCTGTGCAGATGGAGTATATAACATAAATCTTAAAACTACAGCTTATTTCTTAATGAACATCATTTTTAAAAAGTAACAGTATAAATACCATTTTAGAAGCTTATAAAAACTTACATTGCAACAAAATTCAAATAGTGAGTAAACTTTAAGAATTTCTAAAAGAACCCAGGCAGTGGTGGTGTACACCTTCCCAGCACTTGGGAGGTAGAGGCAGGCAGATCTCTGTGAGTTCGAGGCCAGCCTGGTCTACAGAGCTAGTTCCAGGGCAGTCAGGGCTATTAAACAGAGAAACCCTGTCTCAAAAACAAACAAACAAACAAAAAAAACTAAATGAAATTGGAATGTTTTAGACTTAAACACAGTATTTACAAATTGCATATGAGGATATCTCACAGAAGCAAAAGAAAACTCCCATTTCTAATTCTACATAAACCCAGAAAAAATAATAAAACCTTTTTATTTTTAAGGGAACACAATAATTTTAAAAAGTGTCAACTGAGCCGGGCGTTGGTGGCGCACGCCTTTAATCCCAGCACTCGGGAGGCAGAGGCAGGCGGATCTCTGTGAGTTCGAGACCAGCCTGGACTACCAAGCGAGTTCCAGGACAGCCTTCAAAGCCACAGAGAAACCCTGTCTCGAAAAACCAAAAAAAAAAAAAAAAAAAAAAAAGGCGTCAACTGGATTAAGAGATATGAAAAAGGAACGTTTAGGAGGCATACTGGACTAAACTATTTTGATTGTATAAATCTGCATATTAACTATTTCAAATAGTTCTATACAATTAAAAGTACTTTAGATTCAGTATTTATTAGCCTCAGGGTCTGAGTGGAGAGTGGACTCTAATAAACAATTTGCCAAGCAATCTCTAAGGATAAGGATAACTAAAGTATAACCTGAAAGCCACTTTGGAGGACCAGTGTGGTGTCTCAGTCCTTTAATCCCAGCACCTGGAAGGCAGAGGCAGGTGGATCTAGATGAGTATGAGACCAACCTGGTCTACATAGTGAGTTTCAGGGCCATCTAACACTATATGGTGAGTTCTTGTCTAAAAAAGCAAACAAAATGATACCAGCACTTTTTGAATTCTTTAAAAGCTATTCCACTGAATGTCTGCTAATGCACAGTATTTAAAGACTACTATAGGAGCTTTATAAACACAAATGTCCCCAGACACACTCTGTCTTCACACATGCAGCACTCCTTAGAGAGAGTGCATACACTTTCACCAAGCACATGGAAGCATGCAGAGACCAACACTCTAAGCATGCTTGGAACCCAGAAAGGAGCAGCTCAGCCACTTACAGCAGTGCCAAGTCCATGCTTGAAAGTGCTCTATGTATTCAATTATAGACAAAAATATTTCACGATTAAAGTAACTAGTCACAGAATATTCAAAGACTATAACTTGGATTTATTAAATCTTAACCATTTCTATAAAGTCATCCAGGTAATAAAAGGAATATTTTCATTATTTTGAGTCAAAATGGAGAGTAGTAACTTATTTTTGAATTAAAAATAAACTTGTAGGATAGAGATATCATCTTTTTAGTTTTTTGGGTTTAACTTTAAAACTAACCCTAGGAAAGACAATGGTTTCAGTAGATACACTGGCAAATGTACAGTATTTTTTTTAAGTTTGTCATATCAACATATTTTATCTATACTCTGATTCAATAGATTATCTCTATGGAAATAGCTATATTTAAGATAAGGTCTGCCTATAATTTAAGTCAGTGATATTCAACTGCAGGTAGTATTGAGTTGTTCATAATGCAGGAGACACAGCACAGTTGCCATTTCATGAATTGAGCACCAAAGTGATAAATGTCCTTCAAGGCACAAGGCCAGGCTGAAAACAGAGAACTATTGTCCTAAAATGCTATTAGCTCACCACAAAGCAAAATGAACGTGTCACTGACTTTATCAGCAGTTATTTTCCCCTGCAAGGATATCTTTTAAAAAAGAAAAAAAAAGATAATATTTGGTTTAATTCAATACATCCAAGGTAAATGAAGAAGTAGGGGTTATTTTTAATTTGCAAGAGTCATAAAATGGAATTTGATTATAAATAGGACAAATATACCAAGGTATCAATGATTAAAAACTTTAAGGGAGGAAGGCAGGAACAAAGTGAACAAGTTCCTCATAAATGTAACATATCCATCAATGGATAAAAGTAGAACTATAAAACATAAAATCAGAGAACATCAAATACAACTGTTCATAAGAGGAGCAGAATTTTTAAAACTCTACAGTCCACATCTAGTAAGGTTTTACTGTCTGCTTTTTACTTCATACACTTGTATCACAAATACCTCTCTACTGAATTCACTTTCCTTGATAAGTATTTGTATCTTGGGAATATACCATTTTAAAATGTTAGTGTTTTATTCTAATTAAAGAGGATTAAAAGATACAATCACATAAGGTTACACCATTTTGTAAATGTGCCATACTAGGCTATACCATAATTATTCTTCCTTTGAACTTAAATGGCAAGATAGTAGGTCAGCACATATCAAATACTTTGTTATGAAAGTATTAAATTATATTTTCAATGGCATTGCTCTCAACAGGTTTTGAACTTTACATGAAATTTTTTTAGGCTTACTTTACTCTTTGCGAAAGATTCTGTTAACTTCATCCCTCTCAATAAAAGCCTCTGGCCTAGAGAGGACCTAAACATTACAGCTGTGTATCAAACGCTGGTCCAACCACCCAGAGGAGCTTCCTGCTTTACATAAAGTTCTAAGTTCGGAACCTTGGTTAAAACCAGCATCTTTCTTTAAAATGGAAAAAATATAACCCAAAACAAAAGAGGCAGAAAAATTCCTTTTTTAGTAATACCAACTACCTTTTAGACTTACATTGGTGATGATGCGGTGGAGTGAGTTTACCAGCACATAGTGAAATGTAGAAGGTGAATTCTGCGCCAGGCAGATCTGCAAAGAGGAAAGAATGTTTATTAGCACAAAAAAGACAAAAGAACAGCAAAAAATTAAATTATTCTCAATATAATAAATTTAAAGTCTTGACATTAGCATCAATATGGTATATTTTAAAATACTACCAAGAGGCTAGAGAGATATCTCAAGGGTTAAGGGCTGCTCTTATAGAGGACCTAGGTCCAATTCTCAGGACCCACATGGCAGCCCAGTGTCTGTAATTCTAGTTCCAGGGGATACGATGCCTTTTCTGACCTCTGAAGGCATCAAAAACATACACAGTGCACAGACATACATGCAGCAAAATATCCAGATAAATAAAAATAAATAAATCTGTTCCTTAAAAAAAGAAATACTAATAAAGTACACCTATTCATCTTTATAATATCTGCATTTTATAAGGATAACAACATCAATAAGCATGGTTGTACAAAACAATTTCTTACCTTAAAGTGCTGGTTGTTGTGAGGGCTTATCCGAAAGCAAGAGACAAGACAGTCAATCATGAGGTCCACATCTGCAGGCTGACTGCCTCTAGAGAATGGTTTACTTGGATTAAAAAGCAGGTTCTATAAAAATCCCAACAGAAAACAGTGGCCTTTAAATAGTTATGAAATATTTCTTTAACAAGGTGTGTACACATAATCAGCATTATCCACATCGATTACAGTAAACTTCAGTTGCCAGAAAAAGCACAAAATACTGGTTACTATAGTTTACCAATATCATAATAAGACTTATTATACCACGTGTAATTCTTCCCAAGCCAAATTTTTACATAAAGACCCAAATATGTATATATTAAGAAAACTGTTGCATATCATTCTTCATGTTCTCAATCCAGACTAATGAGCACAGTAACAACAGAAGCAGGTCCTTGACCTTATTGTCAAAGTAACCACAAAATTTAGTTAGCAATTATCTTTAGCAGAATACTCATACTAGAAGTTTATCTACTTAATTCCCTTATGTCTATAGAAAGCATATTACCTTCAGATCAACCACCATGGACTGAACTAGTAGGAAAATGACAGAGTTATCTTCCCAGTTGATATAAGTACTTGCTTTACACAACTTGACACAAGCAATGGCAGCACTCTCTGTCAGTTGCCTGCTTCCTCCATGGCCAGCAAGTGCTTTTCGTAAACTATCCAGAAACAGCTTCTACAGAATTTAAATTTAGGAAGACAATAAATCTAGTTACACTACTGTAGATTTAGCTAACAATGTAACAAATTATCAGTCTCTAAAATTCAAACTAAAAAAAGAATGGTTTATATTTGGCTTTCATTTCATATTTAAGAAGTCATCACTAAATCTTTCTCAAGTAAAAACTCAAATACAAAACACTTTTCTCTACTTTCTCCGTTGACTTTCTACAGGAATAAAAGAAACATTCCTTCCTGTATGTTTGAAATCAACATTAGAGTAGGTTTATCACATCTCCCTTTTGATGTTATCTTTGAGGCTTAAATATATGACTGTCACAGTTGTGGGACATATCAAACTGTTTTATTCTTTTCTACTGCTCTGGAGTATATTCAACCTTCAGCCTTCTAAAGAATATACCCAAGGAAATACTGTTGCTCTAAATTTCATTTCTAGAAAAAAAAATTCCAGCTTCTCCATAGACTATAGATGGGGCCAATTGTGAACAAGATGTTTCATAAGGGCACAGGGCCCTACACAGACAGAGGCAGCACCAGGATCTTGATGGAGTTGGCAGCTAATGAAAAGGCAGTTCATGCAGGATTAAAACGATACTGAAGACCTCTCTGATGATCACAATGTCCACTGAGATGGTTCAGTCACCTACACCTATATGCTGCTTTTGTAATGTATCCTGAACTGTTCAGGACAGGAGCTGTAGAGCCCTTAGGAAAATCACTAGGAAATCAGACCTGATCAACCAAAGGCAGAAGATTGTCTGAGCCAACTGGATAAGCTGATTACCACCGAGGGTGCCAGCCCTTTGTCCTTGTACGTTTCAATTGTAAAAAGCAGCACCAACACAAAAAGTAAAAATTTAAAACAAAAAACCCAGGGTCAAAGCAGTGGTTTAGTGCTTAAGAGACCTTGTTATTCTTCCAGAGACTGGAATTGCTTCTAACACCTACACTGAGTGGCTCCAAACTACCTATAAATCCAGTTCCAGAGTATCTTATGCCTCTGTGGGAATGAACTTGCAAGCACACATGCACACATTTTTTGTAATTAAAAAAAATAGTAATAAACCAAAAAGTCTCTCATTAAAAAGATTCGTTTCATTTCATGTGTATGCTTATGTGCCTGTTTGTTTGTATGTAGTCACGCATCTGGAACTTTAGGTAGTTGTAAACCACTCAACATGGGTGCTGGAACATAAACCTGGGTACTCTGCAACAGCAGCAGGCGATCTTAAAACACTGAGCCATCTCTCCAGCACCTAAAAATACAAATTTCTTCCTTTGTTTTTCCTGCTAAATGAAAACCTCATCTCCAGATATATCTTCAAATCTACCTAACATTTCAAAAGCTAAATTTACCTAAAACCAGAAGAATACAAATTCTTAAGTACACGTAGTGCATATTCCCAAAATGGACCACACGTTAGGCCAATAAACAATATATATGTTGAAAGAAGTTAAAATTAACCAACATGTCATTTCTGGTAAAGGGGAACAGAAATTGGAAACCAGAAACAAATGGAAAACTAGAAAATTCACATATATGTAAAAACAACAAAGTCATAAGAGGTAGTGAATTAAAGAAAAAAGTAATCAGTAGAAGGAAATGAAAAAGGTCTTTGGGTAATATATGAAGTGTAACATATGAAGCAAAGGCAGTGCTGAACAAAATGCAAACCCATAGAAACTAAGAACGTTCTCAAATCAATAACTCACAGGACTAAAGAACGAAGAACAAGCTAAATTCAGATGCAGCCCATGGCAGAAATAATAAATATTGGAGCACAGATCAGTCTAACAAAATACACACTAGCAATGGAGAAAACCAACAAAAACAAAATTTGATTTTTAAAAAGTTAACAAAATTTATAAGTGGGGGAGGGCGGGGGACTGGAGAGATGGTAGAAACACTTGCTGTTCAAGCAAAAGATCCTGAGTCTGGATCCCAGAACCATTTAAAGAATGAACATGGACATTCCTGACAGTCAAGTGCCATGGGGGACAGAGACAAGAAACATCAGTCAGAAAAACAGCCAGTTCTATGTTCAGTGAGAACAGGGTTCAAAGAAGTAAGGCTCAGAGTTATAAGCAGGCCACCATGAACGTGTGCCAACCATCATGTGTGTACACACCACACGCATGCACACAGACAGACAGGCAGATAGAGAGCACTTGTGCAAGCATGCAGACTAAAATTACTAAAGTCAAAACTAAATGTGGTGACATTACAAATTTTGGGAAACAGGACTATAAAAAATGTACACCAATACAATAAGAATAAATAACAAATTTCTACAAGTACATAGTCTAGCAGAACTGAGCCATGAAGAACTAGAAAGCATGAAAGGTTTAACTAATAAGAGAATTTAATCAATAATAAAAGACATTTCAACAAAGAAAAATCCAGATTCTTGTATTTATTTTGTAAATTCTACCAAACATTTAAAAATTAGCATCAATTCTTCTCAAATACTTCAAGAAAATTAAAGAGAAAGGAATACTTCCTACTTCAATGTGTGAGGCCAGCACATTGCCATAATTGTAAATTCCAGACATTTGGGAAGCTGATCACACTTTCAAGGACAATCCAAAAACAAGAAGGAAGAAAAACCTACTCAAGTCTGTGAAGCTAGCCCGTAAATTAAGACAGTTCAAATACAGGCCAATGGGGGCGGGGGGCACAGAGAAAGGAAAAAAAACACACAACCAAGCCAAATCCAGCAGCACTTTAAAATATTTTTTCAGATTATTTTTCTTTATTCTATATGTATAAGTTTTTTGTTTGCATGTACCTTACCATGTGCATGCCTGGTAGCCTCAGAGGTCAGATAGAAGAGGGTGTCAGATCCCCCAAAATTGAAGCTACAGGTAGTTGTGAACTACCATATGGGTGCTAAGAACCTGGGTCCCCTCAAAGACAAACAAGTGTTAATTAAATTGAAAATCTTTACAAAAACATGAAAATTTTACCAGGTGTTGATGGCCTTTAATCCCAGCACTCAGGAGGCAGAGGCAAGCAGATCTCTGTGAGTTCGAGGCCAGCCTAGTCTACAGAGCTAGTTCCAGGACAGCCTCCAAAACAATACAGAGAAACCCTGTCTCGAAAAACCAAAAAAACAAACAAAACAAAAAAAAAACATGAAAAATTTTCAAAGACAAAACCTACATAGAGCAATAAACACAAAAGACCTATGAAAAGGTGATCAGTGTGTCAGTTTGGGGCTGGAGACATGGCTCACTGGTAAAGAGCACTGGCTGCTCTTTTCCAGAGATTCTGAGTTCAATTTCCAGCAAACACACGGTGGTTCACACTATCCATAATGTGATCTGGTGCCCTCTTCTGGCCTGCATGCATACATGCAGACAGAATGCTGCATACATAATACATTTTAAAAAGAAAAAAAAATTGTGTCAGTTCAAGTGTGGATTGCTATATAGTCTAGGTCTAGAAATAACTGTAACAAGCCAGCTTAAAACTGAGGGTGAACACCAGGCATAATGACGAACGCCTTTATTCTCAGTACTTAGGAGGCAGAGGCAGGTGGATCTCTTTGAGCTTCAGGCCAACCTGGTCTACTTATCGAGTTCCAGGACAGCCAGGGCTATATATTGTGACAAGACTCTGTCTCAAAAAAAGAAAAAGGAGGAGGGGGGGAGGGAAGGAGAGGTGGAGGAAGGGAGAGATAAGAGAGAAATGAGAAAAGTGGCTTTTTTCAACAAATATCTGTAAAATGTCCTTGGTCTATTAAACAATCAATGAAATTTTCTTTGTTTTAATTTACTAAGTTTTCATTCTTTTTTACACTTATTTATTTTGTGTATGTGCTGGGATGTGCCAGGGCATTTGTGTGGAGGTCAGAAGACAACTTGTGGGAATCAATTATCTCCTTCCACCATATGGGAGCTGAGATCCAAGTCAGGTTGTCAGCGTTGGTGGAAGTGCCTGAGCTGGCACTTATTAGTCTTTTTTAAGATTTATTTTATTTCACTGCAGTGTGTGTGTGTGTGTGTTGTGTTTTGTTGATTTTTGCTTTTTGAGACAGAACTCACTCTATAAACTAGGCTGGCCTTGAACTCAAGAGAAATCCTCCTACCTCTGCCTCCTAGTGCTGGGATTAAAGGTGTGCGACACCATCGCCCAGTTAATCCCTGACTTTTAAATTAATGTTAATAAGCAAAAGTCAATGGAAAACTTGGAAACACCAAAAAGTAAAAATTCGTAACATACTTTTGTCTAATTAGGTTATTTTAGCCCATAGAAAAAGATTGAAACTCCCAAATTTATATTAATTTGGTATATACTAAATTGTTAGGTTATGCTTCATAATGAAAAAAATATTCAATATATATTTCCATGAAACATTAGAAAATGCATTGTTAGCTATATAATTTATTTGTAAATAACCAAGTATCCAAATTTGTACACATAAATATAAACTTAAATTATAAATTTCTAAATATATTTTAATGATGAATAAAGTACTTAAGTAACCAAAATTATCTAGTGTAATACTACTCAACATTGAAACCAACAGAGCTCAAAGCCTTGCAGTCACTGAATATGTTATTTATCCTTTTTTCAAAATAAAATAACCTGTGAATACGTCTCTCCTAAGGCCAAGAACTGCTCGACACAGAACAACGCTAACTAAAATGTACTCATTGAGTGAAACAACTACTTCCCATCAGGAAATGGCAGAAACTCACACTGCCCTCCTCACCTTATTTATGTTGTTGTCATCAACTACATCCTTGGATATATCCTGGATTATTTCTGGACACAAAATGAGGAGAATGATTTGCAGTGGCCAAACTGCGGCTTTACGTTTGGTGCTTTCAGCAAAACCGTCCACCAAGTCAAACAGCTTTTCTGCACACTCTAGGTGAAAACACACACATTAAATTACCTTATTAGATAAGAAAATCCTTGGTACTAAATTAAAATCCAGAGTTATCAAAAAAACACACAAACAAAAAAACAAAGAACACAGTTTTAGAAGAATGTGTGAGAAGGGCTATCTTGACCCATCCTAGAAAAGTCCACATTTTAGAATGGCTTTTTGTCATACTATTAGGGTCTTACAGAAGGAACAAGATTGACAGCTTCTCAAAAGAATTCCCAGCTCCCCAAAGGTCTCTATTCTCTGCTATGCGGTGTGCCCCCAAAATCTTATTCAAAAGTAAAAATAGTATTTCCTCGTCAGATATACCTACCTAAATATAAAGTCTAGAAACACACACACACACATACTCACACACACATGCTGTGAGAGTCATCAATATTCAATCATAACAAGAAAGACTAGAGCTTCATTTAAAACTTCTTACCTACTTGCTCAAAGGGAAAAGGACTGGAAATAATACAGAAAGAAATAGGAGAGAAAAACCATCACTCCTATTTGGGGACAGCTGACAACAGAAGACAGGAAAACCACTTTTACAACAAAGTAACGTGAAAAGCTGCATGGTTTACCTCTAAGAGCTTAACAAAAGCACACGCACATCCCTTGCCTCACAGTCACTCTGCTTACCAGCCATATCGGTCTGTGGAATTTGGTACAGCTTTGTAAATTCATCCGGATAGTTTTCTACCCAGTTCCAAAAAGCCTATGAGAAACAAAATATATTCCTTTATAAGAAAGCAGTCGATATTTCCAATATTTTAAAAATAGCATAGAATCTAAAGTTTCTTCATAAAAATACTGTAACTATCACACAATTCTTGACTTTCTCATATTTAAGATATTATTTAGTAAAGCAAAATTCATAACTGAAATTGAAATCCGAATAACCAGGAAGCTGAAGCTTACCTTTTCTAGGCTATTAATAACTGCTAACTGTGCGACCTTCTTCAGGGCTTTAAATTTAAATGCTGTTTCTGGAGGGAAAAATTTTGTTTTATTAACTCTCAATTACTTAAAACGAATACAACTCAGAACTACTACAAAATAATTATGTGTACTATTTTTGCTTCCAATATTATTACTAGGCAATTTAACAGTAAAATAAATATAAACCCCCAAATTCATGAGTTACATCAATAAACACAGAAAAAAGTAAACATGCCTTCAACTTCAAGTTTTCCCATTGTTCTACTTCTTTAAACTGGTTTACAAAAAACAAAAAAACTATAAAACATGAGGATGAAAAGATGGCTCAGTGGGTTAAGAGTACTAGACACTTCCAGAGGACCTGGGTTTGATGTCCATCACCCACATGGTGGCTCATATAACCTTCCATTCCAGTTCCAGGGAATCAGATACCCTATTCTGGCCTCTGCAAGCACCAGACACTCACATGTAGGCAAAACACCCATAGGTGTAAAATAAAAATAAATCTTATTTTTAAATATATCAAAAAAAAAAAAAAAAAAACAGAAGCCAGTCATGGTATCAACACCTTAATCCTAGTATTTGGGAGGCAGAGGCAGGTGGACCTTTGTGAATTTGAAAATAGCCTGGTCTACACAGTAAGTTACAAGACAGCAAGGGCTACACAGAGCAGCTCTGTGTCATCCCCCGCCCCCCCAAAAAAAGCAACAACAAAAAAACTATAGGCGCTGGAGAGATGCTTCAATGGTCAAGAGCACTGGCTGCTGTTTCAGAGGACCTGAGTATAGGCTCACAGAGGACCCACATGATGGCTCACAACCATCTGTAACTTCAGCTTCAGAGGATCCAACACAATCTTCTGGTCTTTGAGGGCACTGCAACATATGCACACAGATACACAAATAATAAATCTGGGAGACTGTTGGGGAAGTCTTATGTCAATAAAGTACTGTTGAGCCTATAGGGAACCAAGATGGGAGGGACTAGGAGTCCAGGAGAACTCTGGGAAGGAGAAACACAGAGGAGTCGAGATGTAACGCCATGAGGTAGGACCCCGGAACTATTCTCCGGTAAGAGACATACTTAGATTAACAATTATGGGGTAATTACTTAAAACAGAGCTAGCCAGTAAGAGACAAGCAAGGCCAACAGCTTCATAATTAATATAGCCTCCTGTGTGTTTATTTGGGACTGATGCGGATCTAGAACCAGGCTGGTGCGGCAGAGCCCAGGCGACTGGCGGGAAGGCTCCTCTCAAGGAAAGCTTCTCTTAACAAAATGGTGATCAGAAGTGGGATCATGAATTTCCACGCAAAATAACAAAAGCTTTAAAGGAATTTTAGAAACAGAAGAATGGAGAGAAGCACAGATTTTTGGTAGCAGCGTTTTTCTCAGGTGTGCTCTGTTTTGCTATCGACAAGCCGAGATTCACGTGGCTCGTTTACCGGAGTCTTCCTGACTCAGCATAAAAAGAAAAAAAAAATCAGCCAGCAAGGTTGTTTTAAGAGACTCTGCTAACGATTAAAAGGGGTGTACGTACAGCTGGAAGTGGCAGCTTTTACTGGATGTCACCATGGACTGAGGCGGTAAGCTGAAGTCACGCTTACGCCCGCCATCTTGACGAAAAACTGGCAGTTTAAAACAGCCGCGGTTTTACAAATAAGACACGTGGCCAGAAAAACAAAGATTTACAGTAAAGTCAGACTTGGATAAAGAAAAACCTCTAAAGGTTTACAGTGTGTTTAAAAATATGCATGAGATTAAGAGAGAAAATAAAACAGCAAAGTGGTATATAAATACAAAAGCCGGCGTTGTGGTGGCGCACGCCAGTAGGATTTACTCCAGAGGCAGAGGCAGGCAGATTTCCAAAGAGAAACCCTGTCTCAGAGAAAAATAAATGAAAGTGAAAGAAATAAAGTAATAATAGATAAATAAGTAAGCCACGTAAAGATGGAAATCACACAGAGAGTCTGGATACTGTACACTATTGTGTTTTTCAGTTTTTTCATTGCTAAGGAAGGAGCAACTGCTAAAGTACACTTGATTATAAATGCTGCTAAATTAATACAACTTATATCTTTTGAAAATACCTTGACTTCAAAATTTAAGCATAAGGATATGTTACTCGGAAAAGGAGTTTTTATTTATGTTTCTACAGAAAATGAAAAGCTGAAGATTCCTTCCAGGCTTCTGTGGTTTCACGAACCAAGACCCCCAGAAGCAGTGGACCAGGTGTTCCAACTATTGAGACAGCTAAGATGATGCAGCTTTACAGACCCTGAAAATACGGACTTATAAAGGTTTCTGAGTTTTGTCATGATCCCCATGGTGTGAACAGCGCCCCCTTCCAGCAGGAAGCAGTTTGGAATGAGCGACGTCCCAATTCCCATCTTGTTTATAAATCTTTGTTTTCATTTAAATGGGATTGTTTATAATTGGCTAATGATCACAGCCAATCTTTTAAATGGTAAAAAAGGGAATTATGGTATGGGTATTGTTTTTCATTTATTGACACAAATTCAAGGTCAATTTTGTGATATGTGTATTTCTCCTCTTGATTAAGTATTGTGCTTATACTGATCTTTTAAAATGTAATGCATAATTGAATACAGACTATAGATAGTTACTTATAACAGAATTTATAGTTATGTAAGTTAGGTTTTCTAGATATATAGAGATGTATTTGAGACAGATAAATAGTCTTCAAACCTTTCAAAGACCTTCAGAAAATGGCATTTAAAATGGTTTAGGGTTTTTCTTGACAATGAGAAATGTCTGCTCCTGGCAGCACCAATTATGAGAGGAAAATGGGCATCGAAGAAACTCGTTATGGAGTTTGCTTTCAACATGGCAAGATTAGCCATTTGGGCAAGAAACTGCTCTTGCCTAGACTGACTGTTGCTGTATAAACTGGACATGCAGGACCCACAGGAAAGTGACTGCTGAACTCAGTCTTACAGGGTTCCTGCTTCATGGAAGAGTCCTCGAGACTTTCTGCAGGACAAAGAAAAATGAATGATAGACTGTCAATGCAGATGGACAGTTTGAAATTTCCTGCTTTGCTGAGAAATCTTCTGGACACATTGTGGCCTATGGGCTGAAGATGGATGCCCCAACGTTACAGAGGAAATTCGGGTGACTGTCCAGGCAGTAAGATGTCTCTATCAATCCTAGTGTTTATATATTATCCTTCTGTGGTCTTTGATGGAGTTGAAGACAGATAGTTATAATTATAGTTTTCCTTAGTTATGATAAGAGATAAGCTACATATAGAACTTTGGACTCACAAGAATGAGATAGATGATATTTTCTTTAAATCTTGCTAAAATATTGTAACTATGTTCTTACTTGATAACTGTTCTGTTATATACAATTTGACTATGTTAAAGTTAAGACCTTTCTTTTTGTTTAAACAGAAAAGAGGAGATGTTGGGGAAGTCTTATGTCAATAAAGTACTGTTGAACCTATAGGGAACCAAGATGGGAGGGACTAGGAGTCCAGGAGAACTCTGGGAAGGAGAAACACAGAGGAGTCGAGATGTGACGCCATGAGGTAGGACCCCGGAACTATTCTCCGGTAAGAGACATACTTAGATTAACAATTATGGGGTAATTACTTAAAACAGAGCTAGCCAGTAAGAGACAAGCAAGGCCAACAGCTTCATAATTAATATAGCCTCCTGTGTGTTTATTTGGGACTGATGCGGATCTGGAACCAGGCGGGCGGGAAGGCTCCTCTCAAGGAAAGCTTCTCTTAACAGGAGACAGGGAGGGTGGGGGAAGAAGAAGGAAGGGCTATTTAAATGTTTTCCAGTTATACATTTAAGTAATTTCTAGTATTTCAGTATTATAAGTAGCACTGATAAATACATGTACTTATATAAAGCTTTTTCCACATTATTATTTTCTTCAAGGCAGGCAATTGTCTACAAGTGTCTAGAGGAGGAGACAAATATTTTCTAAGGACTCTTGATAAAATCTGCAGAGATGCTTGCCATCAAAGTTGTCTACCAAGCAGCATCCTGACCATCTAGGATACCTTTCCATTTGAGCTGTGTAACACTCAGTATTCTGTGGTTCCTAAGCTCCAAGATGCCTTCCTGTCTGAGCTATGTAACACTTTGCATTCTGTGACTCCTGAGTGCCAAAATACTTGTCCCATCCGATCCATCAAAATGCCTACAATAATCTATCCCTGTCCATCCCATCCGACCCGTCAAAATGCTTACAGGTAATACACATAATGAAGAATGATAAACAAATCCAATCAAAATTCAGGGGCCTTCAACCTGAGTAAAATTTCTAGAAGTTCAGTGGTAAGAAGTATGCAGAAATATTCCCTCTAAGGCGAAGGATAAGTTATTGCACTTGGCCCTTCCTACCAACAAGAAAGAAGCACAAAGTTTAGTGGGCCTATTTGGATTCAGAAGGCAGCATATTCCTCGCTTGGTTTTGTTATTCCAGCCCATATATCAACTAACTTAAAAAGCTGCTAGCTCTGAGTGGAGCTTAGAACAAGAGAAGGCTCTTCAATAGGCCAAGGCTGCTATGGAAGCTACTCTACCACTTGGACCAGATGCTCATCCAGTAAACCCAATGGTACTTAACGTGACAGTGGTAGTTTGGAGCCTTTGGTAGGCTCCTCTAGGTGAATCACAGAAGAGATCTTTGGGATTTTGGAGCAAGAATCTGTCACCTGCAGACAATTATTTTCGCATTAAGAGACTGTTCTTGGCCTGTTATTGAATAGGCCAAGTTACCATGCTATCTGAGCTACCTAACAAAAGCTTAGTATTATCTGGACAACTAAGCTATACAGTAGGATGTGCCTAGCAGCAATCCATTATGAAATAGAAGTGGTATATATTGTGATCAGGTCCAAGTAGGTCCTGAGGTCACAAGCAAGATACATGAAGTTGTCCAAATGCTATTGTTTCTACTCCTGTTTAAATGCCTTCTGCTCCTATGGACACCCCCATGGAAGAACTCACCCTCCCTGGGGAAAGGAGGGGGTATTGGGTGGGTGGTGGGAGGGGGTGGGAAGAGG